AGCATCCTCGTCGACATCGCGCCGGGTATAACCTTTGGCAGCATCCTCGTCAACGTCGCGCCGGGTATAACCCTTCGCGGCATCCTCGTCGACATCGCGCCGGGTATAACCTTTAGCAGCATCTTCGTCGACGTCACGCTTGGTATAGCCCTTGGCGGCGTCTTGATCAAGGTCGCGCCTCTCTACACCCAGACATAGAACTGATATCATTATCAACTCGAGGTACTTGAAACATGCAGGGCTACTAACCATTACTTGGCCCTGCCAATGGTAATGCTACAGCCAAAGCTGGCAATAGCAGAAGAATGTTTGCAATGCGCATGTTCAAAAATATTCAAACTGGTTCTTGGATCAGGACGTGGTTGTGTTCCCAGATACTGGAAAGATAACTTTTGGTTGGAATTCATGGAGAATAGACAAAGGAAGTCGCTCTTATACCCCATATCTACCGTTTATACTTAAGAGACTAACTAGTTTGGTTGGCTAAAGCCAAAAGACGTGATTATGACTAAATGGCGTCTTATGCAGCCTCGTCAGCTACCTGATCGACGGCGCATCTTGGGTAAGACGCCGAGAATCCCGTAGGCCTATACTACTCTGCAGTGAAACGTTAGTTGTGCACATATGGCGCTTGAATTGGACCCTCGTTTGGTAGATCTACATAGTTCCACCTTATGACCGAACTGAGACATATTCACCCTGCAGCGGGGTATTGTCGGTCTACAAACCCTGACTCAAAAATGAAGACATGCAGGGCTTTCAGGCGGAATACGTGATCTAGATCATAGGTCCAGATGAACGCGCAATTAGTACTACCATGCAAGCAGCTGGGATGTGCTAATGCTGAGCGAGCGAGTTCAAATCCCGAGCCAAAAATGAAGACATGCGGGGCTTGTAGGCTAGACGTGGTCTAGATCATAAGCGCAGATGAACACGCAATCAAGTTTTTTATTCGGGTAAACGGGATGAGCTCGTACTCAGTAGGTGAGCCGAGATGTGTATGCCGCTTGGGGCGAGAAAATCATGCGAACTATGTAGGTTGCCTACAAATTAGTAGAAAAGACATGAGGTCATGATATATGGTTTCTTTTGAACAGAGAACATGGTATTAACCGTTGGAACCTTTGGGGACTTGGCTATATGGAGGGCAAGAAAAGGGAAAGATTGTAGCCGTAGACAGTTATGGATACTATCAAGTGGAAACTACATCTCAATATTAGTGACATTGAAATACTGTAGTCTGCCAATATGATTCCACAAATTTCATTTATGTCATATACGTTTGCTTGATTTGAAGGACTTCATCTCGCAATACAATAGTTAGAAATAGTCAAATTACATGTGGCCCTCATGCTTTCCCTTTCCTCCGTGATCCATGCCACTACCATTTTGCCCATCAGGATGAACAAAGTGCACATGGTTCCCCGAAGCGGAAGTCTCAAACTCTCCATTGACAGATGGAAATGAGAGTCCCAGCTCTGGATGAACCAGCGATGCCTGGTCATATATTGAGAACGAATGCTCTTTAGCCCAGTCGTCCAAAAGCTCCCAATTCACACATTCATGGTCAACCCTGAAATTCGGCCACGGCTTGCGGTAGTTCGGTATCCAGTCATATGTGTAGATAGAGATATCGGCGTGGCACATAAGCGTTTGCCGTATATCATCGAGACAATGATCTGGAGAATAGTAGAATTAACCTCTTGAAGTGCTTGATTTGTGTCAGGGAAGCAATCTTACCTATGTGCTCTTCGAGGTTTGACTCTTTGAGCTCATCGGTGGCATTGTAGTAGTCTCGGTGAAGGTAATGACGAACGTATTTAAGACAGTGTAGGTGATGATGAACACTTAGGCCGCCAAAATAGTCACCAGAACCATCCGCAAGTTTGATAGAAGATCTGTTCAGTCGGTCGAGTGTATCTTTGCCAACTCGAATATTGGAATATTGGAGTAGTTCATGCCAAGCTGCGTCATGTTCCGGACGAGGAGGCCCTCTATACGGATTCATTTTTTCGAGGTCGCCATCAAAAGCTATTTTCTGGTATTCAACCGAGAACCTTGCGGGTGCTATGAGAGGTTTATGTTAATTTGTAGTTGGAGATTGGATTCAGATGAGGGGATTTACAGTACACTAAATCCCTATGGCAGCCCTTTGTCACAGCTAAGCTGCTTCCTGCCAAAAAGATGATTGTGTATATTGCAAAAGCAGACCCATGGAGAATGAAGGCCCAATTCCACCGAAAGCCTTGCTTGCGCTTTGGTGGGTAGCTGTGATATCTCTGTTCCTCATCGTCCTCCTTAAAAAGCAGTGGACGAGAGTTATCTGGATCTTGAGAAGAGTGGCTCTCGTCTAGCGACATATTTGGGTATGTTGAGTAGAGAGAATGGATACTCAGCAAATTTGATAAGAAAGCCGTTCGAATACCCAAGTCCTTGCTATGCAATGAGAAGACGCAATGAGCTCTGGATTTTACACTAAATGTCCAGAAACTGCTAGTTGCATTTTCGAGGTGCATAAGGCCCCCAACCTTCTACATCTACACGTACACGTACACTCACGCCATCATGCCAATATGACAAACTTTGTCCGACTGCTGATAAATCTGTGTTTCATCCTATTGGGTTTGCCCCTAATATTGAGGGGATTGCAAGGGTAAATGCAAGTGGCAGCCTTTGCTGACCAAAGTATTGCAAATACATCTGATATCAAGAGTTACAGCCAAGCGACGCCACATTTAGCCTTGCCAATAGTATAGACTTTTGGCCGCTGATCTCGAAGTAATCGACCGGGCCGCTTTCCGGTGGCTTCCCGCTCCTCGTGCATATACAAGCTTGCCGCCGTTGCCTTGGCCCCCGCATCTGATTTCAAAGTACTAGACCAGAAAAGAAGGCAGCTTGGCCCCGGTCCTCCCCACATTGGTCTATCCGGGGCCCCAAATTGCAGTGGGCATTTGAAGCGTCCAATTCCCATTCGTTAGCCCAGTTTAATAGTAAGCGCTACAAATCCTGCAAACTTGGCTATGTGATGAACGCGGGGTAGTGCCGCTGGGGGGAGTAAAACGCGTTGGTCTTACTGCATGACTCTTGCATAAGGCTGAACTGGACTTGCTTTTGACTGGTCGCCTAAGACCCTCACCACCCTCACCTATTCTATACGAGCCCCCTGGCGCCGAAGATCAATGCGCTCCTACTGTATACGTATACTGTGATATTGACACAAACAAGGCATAGAAATAATAAAACCACTCTCTCGGTATCATGTTGTATGACATAACGTTACATTGCATTAGTCTCCTCGAACTTCAGCTCGGGATTTGGAATCGCGTGTGCACGATATCTTTTGGCAACATGCATTCGCGGTGCTAGAACGAGGAGTGATCTGCTAGCCTCCACGTATCAACTCTTTTAAAGGGTAAGGCAAAGTATTCCCACCAAATACTTAAGCTCTGTTATTATAGCAGTTCTTGCCCAACGCACTTTCTTAAGCTAACGTTGGAATTTCACAGCTTCCATTATGCCGTTGGGATTTTTTCAAAAGCCAACTTCCGAGTCAGCACGATATAAGCAATTGGGTGCCCAGTCATTTCTTCCTTACAAGGAAGAGTCCTCAGAGGGTAGCGATGCTGTCTCTGACACCGATGGTGTGACTCAAACCGAGTTACCTCGGTATCGGAGAACAAACTGGATACGGCTTTCTCTATACATTATTATCGGACTAGCTATTGGTATCACTCTCGGGCTTGGCAGTGCTTGGGTCTTCTGGGATAGAAGACCAATGTCACGGCTGTCCAAAGTGAAGGAGTTTGCACCACAAAGTATGTTTAATACATGCCTCATCTGAAGTGTTTAAAATGCTGATCGCAATTTCTGCTAAGTGCCCCTGTCTACGGTCGTTTTTGAAGAGATCCCGGAACTGTATGAAGCACCCTCGCGAGAAAGTGACGCCTACTGGGACTCATTGGTACCACGTAAGTCAATAGTTAGTCGTTCATGAAAGAGAAATCAGCTAACAAACCAATACCATAGCCGGCAAGGGTTTTGTTCAGATTCCCAACCCTGAAGACTATAACCTCAAGCCTGGGATCCTCACCCAGACTAGCGTTGAACGATATTCTGTAACAATGTATCACGAGCTCCACTGCCTGGTACGTTGATTCCAAACTCCTACTAGTGCTCGTATTTTTCAATCAAAATACTTATATCTCGTCTAGGCCCTTCTCCGCAGGTATTACTGGCATCTAGTGGACGCCGTGAGTAATGGCTGGCACGAAGATGCTCGGCAGGAAATGGTTCGTGAACAACTGTATAATCACCATCCGCATCACTGCTTTGCATACCTGGCGCAGGGTATCATGTGCAATGCTGATCTAACTATGGAGTGGGCGAGGGTGGAGAAGGATGGACGGCGTTTCCAGGTGGAGGGGTGGGGGATTCCCCATCATCAGTGCAAGGATCCAAAGGCTGTAAGGGAATGGGCTGATAAGCATCATAGTCCAGCGAGGCCAAATTCCACGCATATTGATGGATCTCATGGGTAGGCTAGACTGTCGAATATCATGGTTGAATACATAATTGAATACAAGGTATTTTTCCCAGAAAATCAGATTCTAATTCCGACCCTGGTCCCAAGGAGAACAAGCCTTTCTTAACTATGTAAACCAGAATTTGGGACTGTAGGAGTAACACTAAGACTCACTAGATATACATAGTAGCAACATGAGAGGCCAGGGGTACTGTATGATGGCCATCACGTGTAGCTCAATATACCCCGCTCAGTCACCGTCTTTGTAACAGAGTCCTGGTTCATATCTCGTTCAAATCTGTATTGACATTTAGTCAGGTCAATATGCTCTCAGACAAAGAAAAGCTTGAGACATATCTTCAACGGAATGGGCAAACTCTCTACATCTGTCTTCAACGGATCGACTTCTCTGGCATTCTGCGCGCGCGATTCGTTCCCGTTGCTCGATGCGTGCAGATTGCTCAAGGCAATGAGGAATATATTATTCCACAAGTGAGCATGATCATTACAGTCTCAACGGCACCGCAATGCTTTCCGACTAGCAATGACCTCGAGGTCTGGGTCCTTCGTCCCGACTGGTCTTCGTTACGTACATGTGGCTTTAGAGAGAACAATGCTTCCGTCATGTGTTTCTTAGAACACAAAGAGGCCTAGGACACGTTCGACGAGTGTCCGCGCATGCTATTGTCTCGTGCGCTCGAGCGATTCAAGAGAGATTGGGGCACAAGCATACTGGCCGGCTTTGAGATTGAAGTCATGCTCATTTACTCTTACTAGGTCGATCCTTTATAGATACTCCTATTGCACCGCTAATCGGCCGCCGTCCCCTTCCCGTTCGGGCATGGCGCCCTGCAAATACCTGCCCTATTGGCTAGCTAGCCATCGGGCGTAATCGATTTGTATGTACTGTAACTACTTCCCCATGATGTCATGAAACTTGAGGATGATTGCTTCTTTCTCCTTGTTTGTAGCCTGGGCCGTTGGATAAGGCCTTTTCCTCCCAGACGTCGACATTTCCTCCACTTCCTGGCGGTCCGGCGTCGAAAGAGTTTCGAAATACTCCGAGATATGCTGTAAATAATTGGAAAATTTTAGTTAATTCTAAATATTTATAGGGCGTAAAAGGCCAATGGCCCGGGTCATCCTTTGGCACCACGATGGCCAAGCAACCGTCTGATTTCCAGAGAATGACGACGAGTACAACAAATCCCTTGAATCCCTCAGCGCCCCCAAGAGCTCGAGCCACGGGAACAGGATTCACAATATCCTACGCTCACATTTCATTCGCTTTAATTCCTTTTCCCAATTTGTAATGCCAAAGCTCTTGCAAATCGACTTCGATTCTATCAGAAACGATGAAGCCTTTTTGCCCTATTTTGCGAATAGTGCCCAATATTTCCTCCTGCGCACGACTCTCAAAAACGTGGGCTCCGGCCATTCGCAGAGGAAATAACAAGAGGACTCCCGGGATCAATGTATCCGAGAGAAGACTTTGAGACAGACCCAAAATTGTGGCGATATGTTCATCGACCTCACTTTGGTTAAGCTGAGGAATTTTCCGTGTCATCCAGCATGAATAAAAAGTAAAATTCCAGCAATGATATAAAAGAAGAGCGCGGTGAACGATGACGGCCAGTTTGGTAAAAGGATCCACCGGTAACCTTTTCAAATAGCTTCCTTCTTGCCAACTGAGAAGTCTTTCTTTGATCTCGAGACCTTCTAAGGCAAGAGAGTCCAATCCGGGATCAGAGGATCTCAGGTTTTGAGGAACGCTCTCAACTTTGTCAAAAAGCCTAAAATGGTTAGCGGCATCTATCAATCGAGTTAATAAAAATGACTTGCCTTTTAGCAAATGCGGAAGTCTGTGCCATGAGCATGAGAATTTTCTTCATGGGATCTGGCCAGCTTTCTCGCGTCGAACTCCACTGCCATTTGTCTAGAGAAATTAAAATATTGTCGCCATAAAGAATGGCTCTGTTGGTCTCAAGAACCCAGAAAGCATCGATTAAGCTCTTCGTGGGCAACGAAAGCGGATCTGTAGGTTCCAACATGAGCAGCATTTTAGATGTACCAAAAGCCATGTGTTTTGCAAATGAATCGGCGGACTTTTCTGCCATCAGCTGTATGGATGGTTAGTGGAGTTTTTGATTTTATGAATATACTCATACCTCAAAAAGACCATGGAGAAATGTGCTCCAAAACACATCATCTCTAAAGACTGGATTTTCCGTCGAGATTGCCGAATGCAGATCTTGAATTGATCTACCGCAAGCCCGGAACGCAATATGCCTAGGAGACTCAAGCTCACCAAATGATCTGATAGAGCATTTCCTACTAGCGTCCAAAGCTCCGATTGCGATAGCGATATGCCAAAGCAGAGGGTATTTGCCAATGATAGTGACTATGTCTGCATTTGTGGAGGCAAACTCTTTGCTAAAATGACATCGCTGAAGGAAAGATGCGAAATGATCCAGATACATGGCGTCATCATGCCTCTTCACTTGCATGGGGATTGCACGAGACAGAACATGTCCCGGAATATGGACGAATTTCACTCCTGTCTGCTCTAGCCGCTGCGGCTCACAACTCTTATTTGTCCGGATGCATCTTTCGCAGGGTTGACCCCCTTCACACTGTTAATATCGGTAAGTTTGACTAATCTCATTGAAGCAGAGTACTGATTGCGCACCTTTACCCGTCGGTTCGCACAAGATTGGCAGCGCGTTGTGTTTTTGCGCTTGTCCAGGGGTCCGATAGTACGTCTAGTCATTTTGCCTAGTCGTACACATAGCTCTGCTGTCATTTTTCAAGTTATCAGAAAACATCCAACGGATTAACAGGGCTGTCAGTCTCTGATTCGGGCCTGCTGATACTGTCACGTGACCCATACCCTTGCTACATATGCTCCCGCGAGGTTTGTAGGGTTTATATACTCTCGGTGTCGGAGGCAAATGTACTCCGTACTTGCTTTACAGATGTCTTTAGGCTACACAACCACCTGGGCAACCTTCCCGGGGTCGTACCTATGGCTTAGTAAGCACCTAAAAGATTTACTTGGGCTAACTAAGCGAGGCTTAGCGCTGATATAATACATTCTATATTTAGCTAGTAATTAATACTACCCAATAGAAACCATACAATCCTTACAGAATCTCACACAGGCCCAAAGCTACCTGCTGTGGTACTGGGCAAGTACTCAACAGAGTCTTCGAAGTGGCAAGGAAAATCATCTAGTTCAAAAGAAAATCAAGTTATAATACTCAACGCGAGGACAGCGCGTAAGTTGATGATAAAGTCCTGTGTATCAACAAGCTAGTCTTCAAATAAAAAGAAAATTACTTTATCAGACTTTAGGTGATTTACGGCGAAATTTATAATTGAGAGTTGTTCTTTGAGACAATTTGGACAATTCTTTATTGTTTATGTCATCGAGAAGGCGGGATTCAACACTACCTAATCGACGATAGAAACTCCACCGCAGCCGTTTTGGCGGGAATGGCTCAACCACAATCCCATCACGTAGAAGCAGCCTAGGCTTGGATGTTGAAGTATTCAGTGATAACTCTGGTACGCAATCCGGGAGTAAAATAGTCGTACCCAACCACAATATTGCAGTTGCTCACGTAGATTGTGACAGGAAAAATTCCCTGGTACATAATATTCCACTGATGATATTATTTTCAGCTTCAGCACTGGGCCTGGATTTAATACGCTGAACATGGAAAAAGCTACTTACAGCTGCCACAAGGTCCTTATTGAACTGTCGCCGGACCAGTCCGCCAAAAACAGCACCGGCTTTGATTAGTATGTCTTCAGGGAGCAAAGGGAAGTTTGAGTTGACAAATCCCTTCCATATAGTCGGCTCGTTGGATTTATGATCAAAGGTGGTCAAAGTGTTGTCCACCAACCCTTCTTGGGTAGAGTTGGCATAATTGAAAAAGGACGAGGCCAGGCTACCATTGAAGGCTTCATCAACTCGAACGAAATTCTGAGATGGCGAGTTATTGATGAAACCAGTCGTGATGTGCGACAGGTTTTGATTCCTGTTGCTCTGTTAGTTTGAAAAATAGAAGTAGGGCTTGTATCAGCATCTGTCACCTACCACTTGTGTTGGATAAAGTTGGTCTCGTACTCAGCCTTTATCATAGGAGGATCTGGCTGTTTGAATTCAGAGGAGAATTCGATCACCGAGGAAGGGAAGGGAGGGCAGCTTGAATCTCTCACCGCCAGCACTCCAGTGGCAAATAAGACGGAAAGCAGTTGAAGGAAGCGCATGACTCGAGAATGAAAGCTGATGATTGATGAAAGTAGGAGACTTTTGGAAAAGAAAAAGGTTGTGTCTGTTAAGTCCTGTCCCTGAGGCTGTCCGCCACTTTATACTTCCACAAAGCTCACATGGGCATGTACATAAAGACTGTTCACCTCCAGAAACCGAGTTCGCATCTGCTCCATGGCGCGCTCAATAGATACCGTTTTAGGACATCGAGGCTTAGGCAACAATCCGGCTGGTAACTTTTGTGATGAGACTAGAGTCATGGATTTCTTATCATAGCTTGACAGGGCGTAGGCTATAGATGCGTTTGATCATTGCCTGATTTAGTGCGTTGGCCCGTCCAGTGGAGACGCACCCTCGTTGGTCTGATCGATGGGAATCAACAGCGGCGATTAAGACCAAAGGCTAAAAAGTACAGGAGTGTTCTGACAAACCATATTATTAATTTCTCCGATGATAATTTGTAAATCTGCAGTCGCAATACAAGGTTTTCTAACCGCAAGAACTAACACTGAAGTCTCAAGTTAACGTTTGCATGGAATGCTGGAATCGCTCTACGGCTTTCCCGAAGTGGACCTGTTTGTGGGGCGGGTGCATGGATTAACCCCACACGCTCGAATATTTCCCAAAACGGCTAAGTGCTCTCTTGATTCGGAAATATTTAGTCTCGCTGGGCCACTTCACGAGCTTATAAAAGAGCCAATCACAACATACCGTACTTGTTCCAGACATCTGGACTCTTAGCATGGCAGCGATAGGCAGGAGAAAAACGGTGCTGCCTCAGAATCAGCGTGTGCGAGCCCTAGAACCGTTTTTACGGTAGATGCGGACATGGCCTATAGGCCCAAGAAATAACTATTTATAAGAATGCCCGAGGCATTCAATGAGTTGGTGAATGAGAGAAAAACTACCTGTCTATCCCACTCAGACAAGTCGAATTAAACCATCACGGTCTCCATGCCGTTTGAGCCCAACATGAGCTCGCAGTCAGTTGTCTACGAAAGTGACACTAAAAGCGAACAGCGGTACGCAGCTCCCACCAACTTGAATTTTGGCCTTGTCTAATGGGATTTCAGAATGTCTCAGCCCACACGAACTAAAATCCAAGCGGATTTCCAGATCGCTCGCCCTGCGCCAAAATCTTCACTTGGTCTTGCTCCGAAGCTGCTTCTTCAAATCCAACAACTCGCGCCAAATGAGCGACCAGTACCAGTACTGGAAATATGGCAACCACTATTTCGCAAATCAAAATTGACTCGCAACTTTCATCAGAAAGTCAAGATGAGGTCGGGTGATGTTTATGCGACTCTCGACGAGTCGTATATTACTACTTCGATCGGGCGACAGAAAGACTTTTCCAACGCGAAGCAGGATAGTGAAGGTTCCACTCTACAGAAGGATATTGTGGCAGCAATGTGTCATAACGACAACACAAATTCAACAATTTATTTCCGCGATGCGCGGTGCAGATGGCAGACCAGCGTAAGCACAGGACCCGATCAATCGACACCTAATTACCGATTTACCATGAGCAACGAAAACAAAGATATTTCCGACCCAGGCAGAATGATTTTGCAATGGGAAAGCCGGAGCAAAGAAAATGCACCGGCTGGTTCGTTGGATGCAGAGCAATTTGTCCTCCTCTTGATAGACCGAAAGGCGCGGCGGAAGTGTCGCATCGCTACTATGACACCGGGTGGGTTTAAAATCGTTGTCCGCAAGTCCTCTACCCTCGAGCATTTACAGGTGTGCTTTGGCTTAACAGAGCCTATCACGTCTACGATGGTTCAGGATCCTTATAAAGCGTTGGAAATATGGTTATATACGCAAACCCTTACGTTAGGGGCATGGGTCGCGTATCAGGAAGGATGGCTCAATTACAATTGACAGAAATAAAATAAAAATTATCGAAACATGTGGCATGATGTTGATTCTAGTATATTTAATCCTCTAATACTTCGCAGCACCCACCTCCAGCAACTTAATCTGCAACGCCAGCCAGATGGGAATAGTATCTACAAGATTCCCATCCATAAATTCGAACCCAGGGTAGTCACATCGGCGCAAATAGTCCATATCATACTCAGGCAGGCCCAATTTATCGATAGGGAAAGCTGTGGCAACTCTGTGGTAATTTGTCTGGCGAGAATCTTTTTAGCTTGATTTTGAGTTGATTGTAGCATTGTCGTCACATTGTCTCTTGTTACGGGAAAGCAACGATATTGACTCTCAACAAAGGGGGCATGTCGAATGATCCCTCGTTGGCTGTCCAGTGCTTCAAAAGCCTTGAGGCTCTGATGGTAATTATCCTGAGTGCTTCTATGATCCTCATCAGGCATACCAGGATGAGTTGACATCAAGGTGGAAAATATGCCAGTGTCTGGATAAATCATACTTGCACAATCTTTCTGCCCTGATGCCACGATCCTAACTTTGTTCAGGCCAGTCACAGCTTGGCATCTCTCCGCGGAATTCAATTCTGTATTTCCGTCTCAGTTTTTCAACCTTCTTCCTTTCTTTGGCAGTGAAAGGCATATTTCGAGACGATTAATTGGAAACATACAATCACTACACCATAGTTTGTGAAATGGTGTTCCGAAATATCCGAAAACCTGATTAGCGGCTTGATACTTATTGGCTATGAGACATAGTAGACATTGTTTGTACTGACGATGGTTCCAATGACGCGTGTAAATCAATGAATAGCTAAGTAGTTACTGGTAATGAAACAGCGTCGTCAAATATGTCGTTGTCCATTTCTTCAATGGAGCCGTATTCGTTTTCTAATCGTCCCAAATGCCCTAGAATGGTATTGATCTTTCCCCATAGGTTATCTTATTAGCAATCTGTTGATTTAGGACAAAGTCATTGTAGTATTCCATATATAAGTAGCATCATCCTTTCTCTGCTCTCGAAAACCGACATCTGGAAATAGGCTCGTGCTATCACAATGAAGTTTTCTCTATTTACCCCAGCCTTTTTCCCAATGGGAACTTTTGCTTTAACCTTCAAAATACCCGCCGGAAAGTGAATCCACAGCAGTCAGGTTTTTCACATGGTCATCCTCCAGTTGATTGACAGCCAGCAGGACCCGAGGATGGTAAGAGAGAGTATGGGTGGTTGGGCGCTTGGCACTGTTACCTATCATTTATCAATATGTGACGACATGCAGATGCCAAGATGTCTAGTATCAAGTGCATGATACATTACACGTCCCATCTATAACCAACTCAGCCTGTTCACCCCCTGTCGCGCGACGTAAAAGCGGCCCTCGCCTTTTTCTCACCCATCCAGCACTCACTAGACTATCGGCCGCGTCTAAGCCACACGCCGGTGAGTCAGTAGTTGGGGTAGTTGGGTGGGTGACCACCAGCGAATCCTTGCTATTGTATGTCTTTTCTTTTTGTTATTTTATATCAGCCGCATTTGCGGCCTTGTGATGTCTTTTTAGATGTATGTGAAAGCGGTATAAAAAACCATACTTTGTGCAAGCGACTTTTCTATGTATGACCTGTGATTAACAGCATTAGATCAAACTGGGTAGAGTACAGTGATCCCTTGAGTGAGTTCTATAAATCTAACACAAGAATATCGTGGACTGTGATGGCAGATAATCAGTGTCTACATAGGTGGTGATTATCACAATCCTATAGATTTGACTTATGTGACTGACCTAAGGGGGAAGCGCACTAGACGATCACGAGTGTTGAATTTGTTAAGTTCGAGCTATCACAACCGCGAAATACGTCTCTTCTTGTGTGATGTTATGGGTGCTGCAGGCTCACTACCTCCCTCATTTCTCTTCGCCGCCATTCGCACAAGGTTCTTCAATGATACCGGTGCGTCTTCTTCTTTCATGATAACTTCCACCATGTTAAAGCCCTTGCCAGCCTGCAGCTGCTTATCTTGCATAACGTCCATCAACTCGCCCCAATTTTCGACTCGCTTATTGAACACCGGGTACTCGGGATCGTTCTCGGGAGCACCAAAGTACCGCGCTGACTCCAGATACCGCCAAGGCTGCACCCAATTATATCCCGCGTGCATACCGTTGATATAGCGTTCAATGGTGTAGCCGTTGTTATTGATCACGAAGATAGTTATATCCAGGCGGTTGCGAATGATATCTCCAATAGCCTGCACGCTCATCTGGAGACTGCCGTCTCCTTCAAAAAGAATTGTTCGACCGTTCGGGCGGCTCTTTGCTGATATCATCTCGCGCTGAGCGAGGGACGCACCGCTGCATGCAGCAAGCATATACCCGATCGAAAGCCAGAGAGCGGAGTTGATCACTGTTGTTTGTGGAGGCAAGACGAAGTCTCTTCCGCCGGAAGATGAAGTGCCAGTTTCGGTCATGAGAATGTCGCCAGGGCGGAAGAAGTTTGAAATTCGCTGCCAGAAAGTATCTTGGTCAATGATTGCGTCACGGGCCGGCTGTGCGAGCTCATCGTGCTCTTTTTTAGGATTTCCAAGGTCTGGGTACGGGCTAAGTCGCGGCAGCCTTGACGTATCCAGACGATCGAGCAGTTTTCGCAGGAGAGTTTTAGTGTCCAGATCACGATAGAACGCTCCACAAACCTCCACTCCATTCTGGTGAACCTCGATGGTCACGTTGCGATTTGTCAATGTAGTGAAGCTGTAGGTATTGGTGTCTGCGTTTAACGGTGCAATTCGGATAACGAGGTCGCAGGATTTCACCCAGGGCACATATATATCCTTGCCTGCAGCTCCTGCGTAGATACCATGGAAGTTCGGATATGTCTCGTTAACGATTCCTTTCCCAAATGGCGTAGTTGAAGTCGGAATTCCACTGACACGAACGAGGTCATCTGCCTCAGAGCTTATTCCATACCGAGAGGCAAAGCCGTCGACAATAATGAAGGGCTGTTTGGCAGCATACAATCGCTTGAGGATATCTTCGATAGCAGAATTCTCAATGACCGGATCATTCGGAGAAACAGATAGATCAATTGGTTTTTCAAGCTTGGCAATTGGAATCCGAGCTTTGACCAGGTCCGTGGGCAGTTCAATATAAACGGGTCTGCTTTGGAGCAGGCATTGGCGCAAAGTCTCGTCGATCAATGCAGGAGCAGCCTCTTTATCTCTCAGGTTTGCCTGAGCACATGTGAACTTGGCGTAGATCTCTGCATTAAGGCGGAAATTTCCATCCCCAAATGAATGGTGTAGACAAAGATGCTGATCCTGGGATGCTGTTGACGGAACACCGACAATATGAACCACCGGGGCCTTCTCTGCATATGCTCCACCAATCGCATTCAGGGCAGACAGTTCTCCAACTCCAAATGCAGTTATCAATGCTGATATACCCTTGATCCTCGCGTAGCCATCAGCTGCATATCCAGCATTGAGTTCGTTGGCATTGCCAACCCAGTGTAGTCCTGAAGGTTCAACATAATCTAGCGCAACTAAGTTGTAGTCCCCAGGAACACCATGAACACTACGCACTCCGAGTTGATGCAGCCTGAGGAAAAGATATTCCGCGAGGGTAACTTCGCCGGCCATCGTTATTGCTGCGAGTCGGTGGGGTGGCCTTTTTTGATCACTACTTTGTAGAGAGTAGGTGGAATCGGGAAAGGATTAGATTACCCAGCAGTAAGGTAAGTAGGAAGAAGAGGAATGAATAGCAGGAAAAAAGGTGGTATATTCCCCTCCTTTTCTAGAATATTTGCTTGCTTATCAGACTCTCTTTTTATATTTTTTTATAGTGCAACGTGGGAAATCGGGAATTTCTGCATAAAATCATTCTGCGTATCTTTACAACCGGATGGACAATGGTTTTGTTGCCCCATAATATCAGATCCACACTTCAAACTCATACCTATAGTACAACTATACAAGTAGTGGGCTGTTGCAAGGTGTTCCAAAGTAAGTAAAAGATCCGACGACGGGAGACATAGTTTCACCCGTGTAGAGCCGAGGATTGCCCGAATATCCTATCAGCAAAACGCACAATAACGGCATCCTAAACGAAAACAGCTAATTGCAAGATCTCTTCGCGGAATCTTGTGCGTGTTACAGCTCGTGGAGACTCGTAAAAGGCTGAGGGAGACTTGTAAAATTGGATTGCCTAATTAGGAAGAAGGGCGAACCAATCAGGAAGAAGACGCCCACGTTATATCACCTCTATAGCGATCTATTCTCCATTCGGGCCCTTCAATTTAAAACACCTTTATTAAGGCCCTATTATGATCAGGAATTTAAGGTTTAGGGACGTTAGTTCTTACATACTCAATTTACTGAAGTTAGTTCCAGGCCTCTCGGAGATTTTAACGAGTCTTACCGGGCTACTAGCCCAATATTGTCACTAGGGAACGCGTGAGCTCTCCACCACACGGAATCCTGCCGATCTTCGAGGCCAGTAAGCGAGTGACAGCACACCACACCTTAATAAATTCGATATTGCACCTTATCAGAAAAGCTAAATTGGATGGTTGAGAATCAATAAGCAGCACCATTCTTATCACAGGGCTGATTTCGCTCTTTTCCCTTTCACGCGTACATGTCGGGGCCTACGAGTCAATGCGACGGATAAGCATCATGACAACCCACTATACTGTCTCCGAAAAGCGGCCCGCACCGGCCGGGGAGTCATAGCGGTGTCATAGCGGTGTCATAGCGGTGTCATAGCTCGGTGAGATCAGATGAATGGAGACTTATAGTGGAACATAAGGAAAGCGATCAACATCGGGAAGACATTATTCACAGACGGTGTGCGCTGGAACCATAACCTGGAGAACGAAGCACCTTAGTTTGCGGGAGGGTGTTATCCATAGGCGTGGTGTCAGTACCTGGATACGCCTTGAATTACCGGGGTGGATCCATCGAAACGGTTGCCGCTATCGATTGCACTATGTTGTTGATTTCGGTGTTAGTGATGGGTGGTATTGGCGACACTGAAAGCCTCACAGCTCTTACTTGCTGCGGTCGGGTTTAGTTGTAAGAAGGTACCATGAGGCGCTAGATGCCAGCGTTGCGGGGTTTTTTATATTGACGGAGCCGCCTGGTCGCATTTAGTGCCGGTGCTACTTGCAAGTTCGTCCCTGTAGCGCTTACTACCGGCGCTACGATGGTTTGTTGACGTTAATGGGGTCATCATCTTGTAGCACCGGTCACTGGTGCGGTGGGGTGTAAAATTGAAGCAAAAATACAACCAGCTCAAGTTCCATCTCTGGGGTCACTCTTGGTGTAATCAAAACATGCTACCAGTTGTTACGCTGGAAGCTATGGGGAAGAGAAGGTTGATATTGTGTACGCAGTAGCTGCAGCTTATGAGGGGCTGCTGACCACGTGGTGTGTACACCAAGATCAGCTGACCTTGGTGGACCGGTCGGGTTGCGCCCCCCGTGACTTTGTATTTCCTTTTCTATTTTTATGCTACACCTGGTCCTACTTGCAGGGGCTTGGTGTTGGGTTGGAATTTCTGCAGATGCAATTGGCCCCCTTTTTTCTGTTCAACGTACAAGGCAACTATCCAAGCAAAGTGCCCAATTTGGTTCTATTTTAAGAGCTATTGGAAGATCTACTGCACCCGAATCACATCACATCGTATCCAAGAGCGGCTATAGCTTTGGGGAAAGCTTATGGAAAGCACTGAGCCACAAACATATAAAGACATCCGTAGAGCCCGGTATAGACTAGATTTAAAGGAGAATCCCACCGCGACCATCCTTTCAGCAATAATCGGCCCAATTAACAGAATTCTTGCAATCCTGGTCAACGTCACTTGCAATGCCCTCTAACAAAGACCGCATGTATGTTGTTCTCCAAGCACGAGGAGGCAAACCAACCATGCCAGGCAAGGAAGACACGTGAGATCACCATCCATGATGTTATGTTCAAGCAGCCAGCAAGATTAATACCATATCTTGACCAGGTACCATTGGTCCCTGATTGTAGGGCCCAAATTTGAGAGAGAGAATAGCACGGGTTTCTGTTACCACGCAAACGAGAGTCCAAAGTTGGGAGGAGGCTCTGAGTGGCACTTCGAAGAGCTCGAGTGTTCACTTACCGCTACCGCTACTAGCATGTTACTCGTTCGTATCATGATTGGCAAGGTATTGGATGGATATCATGTAGCCGAAATTATGCGCAATACGCCTGTCCGACAGAATCGACCGGGATGGAATTGCGTTGCATGGGTAAAGGAGGCTTTGGAAACGCTCAAGGCCGATCACAAAGCTTTAGGCACGAGGATGCTTGAGTGGAGCATAGTGCGCAATGAAGCAATGGCCTACTGCCAACGGAAGAAAGATCAGCACCGTTTTGATGGCCAGGGCAACTTTGATATGAGGAAGGCTCCAACTTATGACTTGTTGGAGCAAAAGGAGATTATCGCATAAGTTATCGAGGCAGATTAAGTCCAAAATATCAGAAGCGCAATTGATGCGGCCGCTTCAATAAGTGGTGTCGCCCGATGATGATATATGTGCATATTCCATGCCATAAAAATAACTTACAATATACTCCGTATAACGCTTTATATTGGACCACAACCTGCATCACTTGTCATACCTTGGCAGCCCGAAGTACAAAAATTCCTCGTTTTCTTATTCCCACCAATTACCTAGCCACTTGTAATAAAGCTGCAATAGTACCTAAAGAGCTCCAAATGGGAAATCAACAATCATCGTGACGTCAATGCAACGGAAACAATCTAAGAATCTTGCCTCATGAATTTATATTATATTTAAGTACTAATTCCGGATTTCGTCCGTTTAAGAATATATTGGTAAACATCCATTTACAGTTCGCGAATATAACCGTCGAACTCGTCATACATACATACGGCTGCAAAATGTCAAACACCGGAAAGACCTGTTGCGGCAATGGAAATGAACTCCCAGGCGATCCACGGACAATGAAAAGTCGAGTTCTCGAGAGTGGAGCTGCGATGATCCAGGACTTTACGCCCGTAAAACAAATCTGCGCACATCTCAATGCATTCCACGTTTACGCCAACGATCCAACCCGATGCGTCGAGGCCGATCACTATTGCACTCATCTAACAGAGGGTACGTATGTCACAGCATTCATGTTTGGAGCAGAGAAAAACTACCGAATATCCCATGAGCTGAACATTAATACCTCATCCAGATATCCGCCAATGCTTGATCTATGACTCGCCCAAGGCAAACGCCCGTCTCATCGGTGTAGAATACATGGTCTCGCCGCGAATTTTCGCGACTCTTCCTACCGAAGAGCGTAAACTCTGGCACACGCACGAGTTCGAGGTCAACAGCGGCATGCTGGTCATGCCAGCACCGGCTGGTGTGCCCGATGCTGTATGGGAAGCTGCCGAGACGGCCGAGATGCACGACGTTGCACCCATCTATGGCAAGACTTATCATTTCTGGCAGGTTGATCGTGGAGACCCTGTGCCTTTAGGCCCGCCACAGTTGATGGGTAGCTTTGTATCGAATGAGAGTGTGGAGTTGGCGCATCCTGCAGGGTTGGATTCGTTGCTAGAGGATCGGAATAAGAGGTATGGAGTGGACCATCGACAGAAGGCGAAAAAGAGGGAGGGCATTGAACCGGTTGAAAAGCATCCCGGTATGTATTAAGCTTGTTGGTTGGCTTGGACTTGGACTGACATGGTTGCTAGATGCTGATTCTTGGTGTAAAAAGTCACTTTGATTTAGGCATAGATATATCTCATCGATACATCAAGGCTACAAGAAAACTTAAGGGAGCGTGAGAAATTGAAAATGATAATAAATTGTCTAATTGAGATGTCTCCCCGCTATGCATGTCTCACGAACCCAGTCCCATAATGAAATGGGGTCAAAGTGAGGCACACTGGGGGACAGTCTATCTGACAAGATAGGCTGGTTGTGTTCATCTTGCTTCATATTCCACACGTGCTCGTCCTGGTTATGTATTTCGGCGACGGCAAGCTCTAGCATTTGGAGAAGCGAACATCCCTAACGGGATTGAGGGTAGGGGTATGGGTAGGGGTATGGGGTGTATGTGTAAAGTATATCGTCTGTTTGAGCATCTCTAGTGATAGTAGAAGTGCTCAAAATAATCGAGGCATAAATGTATATCCAGGTCCTTCTCAGCCCAGCACCCAAACATCAATGGGCAGCTGATGTAGCTGGAAGGCTCCTGGATATCAAAATCCAATGCGACGGCGATATTCTATCAATCGCTGGTGCAAGACACAGAATAGATTGACTGATGATGGGAGAAGATGAAAATGTGGAGCAAAAAAACGCATTTTAAAGGCTCCGTACGGTCACATGACCGCTCCCGACCAACCGCGGAACAGTTGATGCAGCTCGACCTGAGCAAGATCATGTTTCCAATTCACCACAGATGGAGCACTTCATCCGGTCTGCAATAAAGGCTACCAATTTGCGCACCATTGGCCGGCTTGCGCTCAATGGCACCAGCACGTTCTGCGCATGCGCGCTGATCTGGGAGCACCTGATAACTGTCCAGCTCAGCGAGGGCCCTTCGATGTACCCTACCTTCGATGTGCGAGGCGACTGGCTCCTTATATCGCGTGTCCACCGAAATGGCAAAGGAATTGAGGTTGGGGATGTCGTGCGATATGGTCATCCGAACTTCCAAGGCGTGCACGTTGCCAAGCGGGTAGTGGGCATGCCTGGGGATTTTGTCTGTCAAGATAAGCCGCTTAGTACGGGCATTGGCAAGGAGGGGAATATGATTCAGGTGGGTTATATGTTTTGGTCCTGGTTGGGTTCAATCGCTAACTTGTGATGTTTGTACAGATCCCCGAAGGCCATGTCTTTCTGGCCGGCGACAATCTTCCCTGGTCTAGAGATTCGAGGAATTACGGTCCCGTACCCATGGGTCTCATTAATGGGAAGATAATTGCTAGGGTATGGCCTCTGTCGAAGATGGAGTGGGTGGCCAATCCTTTGAAACCAGCGCAACTGGATTCCCAGAACATTCAGAACATTTGAGGATTATACAGTGTACATTATACCAGGCATGTGGATTGCAGTTTGCCGATGCGTGGCACTCGGGTCCACTTCGTTTAAGCATACGCATGGAGTTCGGTTGGAAGGATTAAAACAGTGTGCATATTCATACATATATCAAATTGTACAATACAAAGGCTTGAAGACAAACAAGATCAGCGGAACGAAGAGGGGTTACGTCTCTTATATGGCAGAGGCTCGACTCTCTTGCGGCGCAGCTCCACATTGGCACCGTCGAATCCAATCTCCTTCATGACCTCCAGGGTCGTGTCGTCCCATTGGGTACGGAACAGGTGAGCACCAATGGCCTTGAGGTGGTAGCGGGACTGGAGAGTGCGAAGGAGGGTGGTGTCGCGGTTAGCCTCCTTAGCCTTGACGGCGGCAAAGTCGAGAGGCTGGGAATCCTTCTGCTCCATGATGAAGAGAGACAGACGGTGGTAAGGACTTCCCATCTGAGCAACGGGTGGTAGCCAGGGGAGAACAACCTGGGAATCCTCCAAAAGCTGCGCGAGATCGATCTTGGTGGAGGTGGCCGAGATGGGGACATTGACGGCCAGGAAGTGTGTCTTATAGTCGAAGTTGTCGTTCTCAACGTTCGGGACATCAGGGTCGACAACTGCGATGGTCACCAGCTTTTCACCACCCTCAAAGATCTGCACGTCGAGTTTGGGCGCGCTTGTGCTGAGTTTCGCTTCGACGAATTCACCGGCTTGGACTTGTCGCTTGCCGAAGTACAACTTTGTTTCGACGACAGGGTCACAGTGAGGCAAGACATCGGGAATGACGTTCATCTGGGTGATACGCTGGACGAGAATCTTGCGGCGGTATTCGCGCCATTTGCGGTCGGCCAAAAAGCGGTAGATGGGCTTGGACATGTCACCTGAACGGAAGAACACGAACCATTAGCTTCAGCTCAATGTGATCAGTTGATCTAGAGACCATTACCTTCATTATCTTCGAACTTTCGCTTGACCAAGGGGTCGTTAATATCGGCCAGAACCTTGAGACGCTCCAGGTGTAATTGCATCGCAGTAACGCGGGACTTCTTCGCCTTTGCTCCTCCGGCCTCCTCGACGGACAAAGCCTCCTGTCTGGCAAGGCGCTGCCTCATTGTCTCAATCTCCTTCAACTTCTCTTCACGGTCCGCGAGCAGAATCTTCCGGGCTTCTTGGAAACATTGGTAGGGTAGTTGTTCAAAAGGAAGGTTCTCTGAATCTTGGAGCGCGGCACGGCGACGACGAGATCCGATGGGGGCAGTTCCCTGTCGGAGCAGCCGTCTTTCAAGACGGGGGCTCGTCACAAGAGAAGGATCGGGTGCCTTGTGGAAAGGTTGGCTCGGAGTTTCAGCTTCGGGCTCTCGGACGCTGGCGGTCGACTGGAAGCCTCGCGTTTGGAGCTGGACACCAGCCACGCCTCTAGAGTAGGTATTGCGAAGGCATTGAAGTAGAGGCTTCGAAGCCCGTTCGCAGTGGGCCATGATTCGAGGAATTGGGGGGTATGATGGGCTTGACCTGAGGATCCGATGTTGTTGTCTTCCCGGGGAACTTTTTCTGTTCGGACCTGCCTTATCACGTGATCCTCCTAGTGGTACCAACGCCCCGGATACATCATGTATGGAGGAAATTACGCATCCTTGACTATACGTAAAAAATCCCTTGTGCTGTTTATGCTGTTTATCACTTTCGTATACATCTAAAAAGACAGCTAAAAAGAACATACAAAAACACGTCGAAGTGTTCTTATATATAGCTTCTAATATCGCCCTTAGCCGAATGAATCTTATAGTTCTACATGGATGCGCATAAGCGGCCGACTACCTAGACATACTTGTCAACTCCAACTTGGAAAGTTTCAAGTTTGAAAATAGTAATTTTAATTTATATCCGATTCCTTCTGTGTTTCCTTCATCGTTTTCCTCATATTCCCTTCCTGTTCTACTAAGTGAATAAACTGCCTTGATAGGGCACGCCGTCTCTCTGCCTCGTCTGATTCATTCACAATTTCAATACAGGTTTCACTCATCTGGATGTAGTGTTCTCGAAACACAATCCATAATGAAAGATCCCTCTCAAGGCCTGGTCGGGGATAATACCGATCATTGCTCCAAAAAGCAGCAGCAGCTTGTTCCACTCCTTTTGGATCCATTGTCATCCTCCTACATAAATCAAAGTCAAGTACCCACATAGAATGGTCTCCAAGGATGTTGGACTCCATTTTAAAAGGAGAACCCTTGCAAGGCGGCGCAAGAACAAATTCAATATCATTCCCATCAACCTCACCAACCCAGTGCATCATGGCGAGAGTTTCGGCCATAACTCTTGCGTACTGATATATATCGTTCGTTGTTATCCCAAGCTCCTCCAATTGGTCGATATGGAGTGGGAAATTCCGCAAAGAAAAGGCTGTGAATCGCGACGTAGTATGAGGGTTTTCCGTTCGTCTCCGGCCGAGGTACGGCCTTACCAAGCAGTCTTTGTTAGGCTTGCTAGCGATGATTTCTTGGACAAACTTTGGCGGACAGTATTTTTTGATAAGAAGTCGTCTTGTAGTGTCGGAGAAAGGCGGTATACGTTGAGACTGGATCATATTGCATGGTGTCGTACAGCCTTGTGGAAATTCTTGATGGTTTGCGGACCACCATTGCTGGTCTGTTGCCTTGATAAAACTGTAGCAAGCTGGGATTTGGATCTTGAGCTGTAAGGTTGTGATCTTTTGTAAGCTTTGGATAACCCGGTGGTGCATTTCAAAGTCGTTTATCAATGATCGATCAGGCCCACCATCCTCCCTTTTGAATGCAGGACCTGTCTCAGCTGCCCATACGGTACCGCAAAATCCTTGTCCGATAGTATGTAGCGTGGAGGTATCTGCTACTTCAGTATCAGCTTCTTCGGTATCTTCGAAGAGGTTGTTAGTCATTGTGTCTTTGAGGTTGTGATTTTTGAGTTGTGTCATTTGAGTTGTAGGTTTAAAAAAAAACGATGAACAAGAGGAAACCGACTCTATTTAGAAGTACGTAGAAATGACGCGAGAATAATAAAACTGTCACCGAAATTGGACTAGTAGTTGTATCTATACCTTGAGGGAGCGCCAATGTTCTGCTAGCACCCACCGCCCGGGATCAACTTTTGCTCCATTGGAGACTCCGGACACCACCAACTTACACGTCGATCACGCAGTGACTTTCACAATGGCAGGTAACGATGTTATTCGGTCGCTGAGGTTGCTCTCACGCAGCTCGGGCGGACTCATGTCAGGCCCGAAGCAGGTGACGGTGAGTGTACTCCATGAATCCTTCTCGGTCCGGTCCTAGGACGAATTTACTGACAGCGCATCGAATCATACAGCAACGATGCCTTACACGCTCAATGGCAACCGAAGCCACAACACAACCCCCCGTGGCAACTAAGGATGCTGTCCAGGTCGAACAAGCACAACGACCAGGGGGCCAGACCCCTGTTCAGGTCATGACCTACCGCTGGCCTGACTTGGAACCCCAGCGTCTGGTCCACTACTCCCGCAGGCTACTTCAGATGCCTACTCGTCACGATATTCTTCACCGCGCAGTCATCTACGAGGGTGACAGCACCCGACAAGGTTCAGCCAGCACCAAGTGGAGGGATGATGTGCACGGTAGTCACAGGAAGCTGTACGCGCAGAAGGGATCCGGTCGTGCGCGTGCGGGTGATAAGATGTCGCCAGTTCGACGAGGTGGTGGTGTCGCTTTCGGACCCCATCCTCGTGATTTCTCGACCGATCTGCCCCGAAAGATCTACGACCAAGCCTGGCGCATTGCCCTCAGCCACCGACTTTCACGCGGCGAATTGATTGTTGTCGACAACACCATCGGTATCGATGAAGCTGCTAGTCCGTTCTTTATCAGAAATCTCGTCAAAGCTCATGGCTGGTACCAGAAGGGCCGGTCTACATTCGTTACACTGAAGCCGAATGAGATGTTCTCTGATGCGGTCGAAAAGTTCGGCAACCACGCACGAACCATCAGCGTCGAGGATTTGGATGTGAAGAATGTTTTGGAGACAGCAAGACTGGTTATTGAGAAGAATGCACTGCACAAGATCCTGCTTTCGCATTCGACGGACTTGGCGAAGGTGGACACTCTCTTTTCGCCTTCAGCAAACGCAGAGAAGGTGTATCCGCTTGACTTTAGCCGGATGAAGGCTACATGGAACAACGTTTAATTGTATCATTCTCTGCTTCTTGTTTTTTTTGGCATTATCTAGCTGTGTACAAATAGATCATCTATACTTCGAACGTTATCACTTTTCAAAGTTGACCTACGGGCTACAACATATATGCAGTATTTAGCTGGCTTTTTGTAATCTATCACATTCATACTATTTGGATACATTTGGATTAATTTGAAAATGACATTAACTGGGGGTGATATCGCCCAAATGTACCTCCGAGCTTGTCGGTTATGGGCGGAGAGTTGGCCCTCGGAGCGGAAAGAAAATCCAGCGAAAAACTCCCGAGGTCAAGGAAAGCGGAGAAACACCTGATTGTCACCACATAACCCCCTTCTCTGGTTCTCGTCATATTCCAGTTCTAATGTTACTTCGACAATTCAATCGCGTCTCCTCGCCGAGCTGGATCTCGCGCGTTCCTTCAGCAATGCCTCTACGCGCCAAGGTGACCAACCCTGCCTTTCGGGCAACAGCTATGGTACACACCCTGTTCGGAGAGAATCCCGATATCCAGCGCTTACTTTCTTACTATCGTTAGATTTCGACTTCCCCTGCTATCCCCAAAGAGCTCCCCGGCGATGAGCGCGACGATGTTCTGTTCAACTCGATCTACGGCATCCGCAGCGTTGAGCTCAACCGACCCAAGAAGCTCAACTCCCTTAATGGCTCGATGGCTCGCAAGATTCTCCCTCGATTGAAGGTTAGAATGGATACCCGGAACTTCGGAAATATTTCTAAGAATACTAAGCGTTGGATGAATAGGAGTGGGAGAAATCTCATCTTGCAAACATGGTCCTCATCTCTGGAGCCGGCACCAAGGCTCTCTGCGCAGGAGGCGACGTTGCTGCCCTGGCGCTGCAGAATGAGAGTGGAGTGGAAGGACAAAAAGCATCGACAGAATTCTTCGGACTCGAATACCGCCTCGACCACCTGATCGCTACATACTCAAAGCCTGTTATCTCTTTTATGGATGGAATCACCATGGGTGGTGGTGTCGGCCTCAGCATGCACGCCCCCTTCCGAATTGCGACTGAGCGTACCGTTTTTGCTATGCCCGAGACCACTATTGGCTTCTTCCCCGATGTTGGCGGCTCGTTCTTCCTCCCTCGTCTGGATGGTGAGACCGGCACATACCTGGCTTTGACTTCGGAGCGCCTGAAGGGTGTCCAGGCTCTGTATGCAGGCATTGCCACACATTACTTGCACTCCAGTGTCCTGAGCAGTGTAGCACAACGTCTTTCCGAGCTGACTTTCCCCGACCACGTCGAGCTTCCCGAGCGCTTGGAAATCGTTAACAAGACCATGGCTGAGTTCTCTCTTGGCCTCCCCCCACTTGAGGAGGAGCCTATGCTCATGGCCGGTAGCCTCCGCACTGCTATCGACCGCTGCTTCGGATTCAACACTATGGAGGAGATTATCGAGGCTTTGGAGAAGGAGACCGAGCACAAGGAGTGGGCCCAAAAGACATTGGAGACTCTGTCAGGCCGCTCCCCGACTTCTCTGAAGGTGACCCTGCGCCAGATGCGTCTTGGCAAGAAGTGGACCATCTCAGAGACCTTCCAGCGCGAGCACGAGATCGCTGCCAACTTCATGCGCCACCCTGATTTCGTCGAGGGTGTCAAGGCCCGTCTGATTTCCAAGCCTGCCCGCCAGGCCGAGTGGCAGCCTGCTACTCTCAAAGAGGTCTCAGATGAAACCGTCGACAACTTCTTCGATATCCCCAACGAGGCGTCCCGCCTAACGCTTCTGAGTAAGGGAGATTACAAATACTACCCTCATGCCCACTTCGCTCTTCCTTCCGAAAGAGAAATTGAGGAGGTTGTGCGCCAAGGTCACGCATCGCGGAGACCTGTGGTCGACTACTTCCTCCAAAAATACGCTCACCGCGAGGGTGTGCGCCGAAAGGTCGTCGAGGTGATTGCCCGACGGACGACGACATCATCTCCCGAAGGACTCAAGTGGTTGAATTAAAGAGAGGGATACCGTCTATAGCTTGTAATTTTATCGTTTGGATGTATTAGAATTTATTTGGCATTGGGCCCATATACCACATACCATTTATTGCATTTCCCGAAGATTTGCAATCATTGATCATCTTCAACTAGAAAAGAACTGTAATATCGAACTGATCGACTCAAATATAGAGATATTTGTGATATAACACATACACATAGCACATAATCGCACCCAACACCGTCTAAAGTGTTTCCGCGAGGTCCTCAGCCCACCCCCGGCATTACAATTCCCGTCCCCCAACTTAATTTTAATCAAATCCACATAAACACTCAACTAAACCCTTGCACATCTGCTGTAAATTGCCAGCAGCGCTTCCAGATGGATTTTGAGAGCAGGTACCCGCAGCCTAGCCGGCGTTCATCAGAAAGTATCACCAATTCCTCCAACGCTCTGTTACCGACATCGGCAGACGATACCTCACGACCGCAAAATGATAGCCCAGCGCCAGAAGCCCGCTCAGTACTAACACGCTTGTACATCTCACACACACTCTCAGCATGGAACTCACGCATGTTTGAATTCGGCGCTGTGCTGTTCCTAGCTTCCATCTTCCCGGGGACACTACTATATGCTTCGATATATGCTCTAGTGCGGGCGTTTTCAACTGTTGCGCTATCGTCCTGGCTGGGTGTACAAGTTGATAGCTCAGACCGGCTAGTAGCTGTTAGGTATTCAATAGGTAGGCTGGTGTCGTTTAGAATATTTCACTGTATTATCAATCAGGGCGAATGGCTAATCCAAATAATAGTGTGGCAAAGAGTGCCTGTCGCGGTGTCGTGCTTGTGCTTTGTGGCGACCTTGTCTACGGACTCTTGGGCCCTTAAGATTGTCTTGTTCGTTTTGCAGGGCTTGCTGGCTTGTGTAGAGAAATTGGCCGCTACAGCTAATACCGTGGCTGTGGAACGAGACTGGGTATGTAGGGGGAACTGTATTCGAGTTGTCTGGTTTCTTCCATGCATCCGAGATCCATTTTTTATTCTAGGAAGAAACATCGCTAATAACTTGACACTAGGCAATCGTGATCTCGGATAGTATCAATGTCCCTCGACAAGGTGAGAAACCTGAAGCGAGTTAACGCTCTGCAATATCTAACTTCGACCAAATGACAGACTTGAACGCCTCAATGAGACGAATCGATCTCTTCTGCAAGCTCCTAGCACCAGTGTTCATCTCCCTGATTGACAGCATCTCAACCCGATACGCAATCTGGACAGTATTCACCCTGAATACTGCATCTGTGCTAGTCGAATATATGGCCATTGCCCAGGTCTACCAATCAGTCCCAGCCTTGACGAAGACACAAACTTCTGTAACACAAGCAGATGACATAAATAGCGAGACCGCCGATGGCCCCCATCCCAATCCATCTCGCAAGATCCTTCACTCCTTGCCAGAGTCACTAGCTCCTTGGAAAGAGTACATAGCCAGCCCAGTCTTCCTAGCATCCTTCGCCTTGAGCCTACTCTACCTAACAGTCCTATCCTTCGGCGCAACAATGGTTACATACCTGCTGCACACGGGCTTTACCTCGTTACAGGTCAGCTACATGCGCATCGGCGCCGTGGCCGCCGAGATATCCGGCACATGGACAGCGCCTCTGATCATGAACCGGATTGGTCCGATTCGGTCTGGGCTATGGTTCCTCAACTGGCAATTTGTCTGTGTAGCTGGTACTGCCGTGGCTTTCGTTGCTTGGGATTCGAGCTCGCGGGCCGTGGCGGGTACGTTGATTGCGGGCGTTGCTTTGAGTCGGGTTGGGCTTTGGGGATTTGATTTATCTGTTCAGTTTCTCGTGCAGGAGGTAAGTGGCTTCTCTCGGATTATTGGCTTGTGGGTTACATGTACTAAAACTTATCGCATTATGTAGAATGTTCAGGAACATGCCCGTGCCCGCTTCTCTGCGACTGAAATGGCGCTGCAGAATGTTTTCGAGATGCTTTCTTTTGCTTCGACCATTGCTTTCCCACTGCCGGCGCAGTTCGAGTATCCCGTGCTGATCAGTTCTGGGGCTGTGGCGGTGGCTGCTGTTTGTTTTGCGGCGTATGTGCGCAAGGAGCGAGGGCATCTACTGCATCGATCACGGTGTATGGGTGGGGATAAAGTGATATACCGAGCGATTGAGTCTGGGTCGGTTTAGATCATTTGAAGTGGCTGTAAGTTCTTGTATCATACATAATTCATGAGAAAATCTATATATATGAACGAGATGGTCACGAAAGTCAAACAGAAAAGCAATGTCGCTAGTTGTATGTGCGCATCACTAAGTCATTAGAAAGTCATATATACATCTAATACCGAAATGCCGTTTAAATGATAATGAAAAAGTCCGAAAACATTTCTCGCCTCACACATTTCGAGTCTGCCCAAGTACGCGACACATCCTGCCGCCTCGTCATCTCCTCCACAAGCACGAGCACCCTATCAGCAGTTGGGTGGCGCGTGTCGGAAGGTGCCGCGTCAGCCTCGTGCGCAGCAGCCATACGCTGAATCTCGCCGAGAATCCACTTGCGCTGGTCTTCCGTAGCCTCGAGCCCAGCAATGAACAGCGGCCATAGGAAGCTGACAGGCAGATGGTCCGGCCCGGCAGAGTCAACGGTAGCCAGTTGGATGATTTGATCGACGGCACCGTTGACGCGGTCTGTGCGAGGGTAGATTGCAAATGCAACACGATGCAGGTAGATAAAGTTCGCTAGGAAGTTGGCCACGTATTGTCGGAATGTGCGGCAGATTTCCAATGCCACAGGCGCGCTCAGTATATCAGTTAGGGCTTCTGGTCGTCCGTAGACGTCTATTACCGAGGGACGTCGGTGCCAGAGTGTTTCAAGGTCTGCGCCGACTTTGTGGGCGAGTTGGAGGACTTCGAACTCGTCGGTGAGGGTTCCGCGGCTGCGGTGGTGGAGGTCAATGCAGACTATTCGTCGGACGACTTGTTGGGCTTGCGCGAAGAATTCGAATGCTGGACCTACGATTGCTTCGTAGACGAGATAGTTTGGGCTGAGGAATGGGTCGTCGATGCTGTCCTCTTCATTGTGATCTGTTGGCGCTGTTATGTGTCGTGTGTCGGAAGTTTTTGTATTTGGTGGTTTCAGTGGTATGCTATGTTCTGGGATGTGGCCGAGCTCGGGGAGAGGATCGCCATCTCGGCCTGCAATCAAGGACTTGACATCTAGCAGCTTGACCCACGCCACCAGCAGATGACCGAAACCTGTCCAATGCTGGGTACGATCATGAAATCGTTGTAGAATGAGATAGCCCGAGTGGATATAAGAGGCTCCGGCACCTATTTCGGGAGATGAGAGAATCTGGGACAACATGAGTTAAGTCCGCTCGATCTCGGGATGAAGCAGTGCATACCTCGGATATCATCAAAAGAAAAACAGCACCAAAAACTTTGATGAGTGTGGACTCGGTCAACTCGCCACGAATACAAGCTTGGATCTCCGAACTGGACACTCTATAAAAAGTAGGTGCCCAGCGCCATCTTTTCCCTTCCATCATTGCTTTATGGACATCCGCATAACAATACAAGGCATTCAAAAGCGGACTAGAATCTCGTGCATGGGCCAGCAACGCTGGCCGCATATACTTCCACTCAATGTTTATTGGCGCAAAAAGAGCAGCCGGCGGGTCAATCGCCAGAAAGTGCTGTAGCAGCTGGTCCTCATACGAAGCACTACCTGTGTCGGACAAGCTGCCCCGCGTAGCTGGCACGTCAGAAGCGCTTCCAACTGAGGTCCCATCAACAATTGGAGGCGAGTTATCTGGAGTAAGTGGAATACGACGGTCTGGTGTGAGTGTTGCGGGTAGCGACTGCGACCCCGGACTAGCGGTGAAAGTCATTGGGAGTCCGGTTGTCAAGTCTAGGTGTTTCTGTTCCAGCTCAGAAGTGATCCCACCCATGAATCCAAGCATGTCAAACCCGGAAGGATAGGAGTCCTGGTCTGTAGGTTGCTGCTGAAGTGTGGTTGTCGGCGCCGGTATTGTGTGGTGGCCGTCTGCGCGGAGCACGGTACTAAAGAAGTTGATGTCGGGAGAGCGGGATGCAGTCGCGGCCGTAGCGGAGGAGGCTGAGCTTCCTGGATCCGCTGTGTTATTCGGCGATGCAGTTGTATTGTTTGATGGGGATGATGAACCCCACCCCATGCCCGGGGCGATAGGAGGTTTATAGAGGCATCGCAGACGTAGTCGGTCGCAATTGGAGCAGCTTGGTTTCCCTTCGTCACACCGAACCTTACGGGCCCTGCATGTTAGGCATCCCGTCCGTCGACGCGGGCCAGACCTGCCAGCTCCCCGGGCTTTTGGTACCTGTGGAGATGAATTCGCGGTTAGTCTGGGTCAGGAACAATGTGGTTGGAGTATTCAAATTACCTCCATGATGGATCAAGCCCGGGTTAAACCCAAAGAAAGCATACTCCGTACTCCGTACTAGATACAAAGTTGTCACAAAGAAATTCGACGTGGCTGGTTTCCCCGCAATCGTGCCGGTTCTCGGGAGATCAGTGCGATGACGAGCTCGCCGTCAGATAGAAATCGTGAGGATATTTAAATTCTGGAAACTCGAGACATTCTAGAAGATCCTTAGAACATTGTTAATATATTAGCTATAGAAGCGTCAATAGCAGCTTAGGAGCGCGCGGAAAGGGAACATAAAAGCCCGCTAGATATTATTAAAGGGTGGAGGATACTTAGGATGGTTAAGGAGGAGGAATAGGAGAATATGGAGTATAGTTAGGAGAGGAGAGAGATGGCGAGAAGATATGAAGTGCTAAACTTATCACGAAGTATAGGGTTAGAGCCTCCGGGCACGTATATTACTATTATTTTCCGTCCATTACTCTTCATTCTTTTATAAACTACATATTGAGGCGGGGAGCTCTAGGAACGAATAGGTGAAATTTACAGCTTCCTTATCGAGCTTACCACAGCCTATGTGCAAGGCGAGCATTCTATTAACAGTCTAGATTCATTCATTATAGAATATCGACGAGTAGCAGTGCGAAGAAAGTTTCTAGAGTGATATGTAGAGAAAGCAGTTTAGTCCACAAACCCATCAGCCACAAATGTGCCACACACCAGCCACACCCGACCGGAGGCTCTGAATTTGTAATAAGCAACTCTCTCCAACTCCATACTTCGCGATAACCCCGGGTCTGGCACTGTTTCATTTCTCTCTCTCCCTCCCTTTCCTTTCCACCATACTTGATGTTCTCCCGCGCCTCCTCCTTGAACGTCCTAAGCAGAAGCTGCCGTTATCTTCTCCGCCCTCAGATTCCCACCCGGACATTTTCCCTTACCGCGCGCTCCCACGCCGCCATCAACGCCGCCATGGCTGATACATCTGGAATCACTGCCGATTCCCTGAAGAACAAATTGACCGAGACACTGCAGGCGCTTCATGTGGAGGTCGAGGATTTGTCTGGTATGAAAATTGGAAATGGCGTTATGACGTCGAAGCATTCTCTTTTCGTCGATCAATCTTACTAATACCTTTTCTTGTTTCGTTTAGGTGGCTGTGGACAGGCATTCCAGGCTGTGATTGTCTCCCCTCAATTCGAAAGCAAGACTATGCTTGCGCGACACCGTCTCGTCAACTCCGCGCTCAAGGCCGAAATCGCTGCTATTCATGCTTGGACCCCCAAGTGCTATACCCCGGAGCAGTGGCAGGCTCTGCAGCAGTGAATAATTCCTGCGATATGAGAACCACGACTTCTTCTTAGAGGTACTTTTAGAAGACCTCGGCATGCCAACGAAGGATCAGAAATTGGATTCTAATCGCGCACCCAATTGATTCAAGCATGGACTTGGCTAATTCTATCTGGCATCGGATTATTAGGCGTTAGCCGGGTTGGAAAGGTTGGATATTATATTTGTACATTAAGCTCCTCTGCCCTATAAAACAGTGCAGCAGGGATCAGAAATAAAATTTAAGTCTTCGCAATGATATCACATGTGTCCTACGACATATACAGCCCAGGCATGCGACCTTGAGTGCCCCGTCATATACATCGCACTCTAGGTTGATAACTAGACTAATAAACAAACATACCAAATCTCTTATCATGATACATGAAAAAGAAAACAAGGGCCTAGGGGTGAGATGAAACCCATGTTCGATATATATATGTATATATATAAGTACAAGCATGGCGTTAACCACTACGCCACTGGTTGAGGAAGTCGTTGCACTTGAACTACGAAGTCAAACACCCAATCTATTAATAAGCTGTATTCGTTAATAGAACACATCATTACAGAGTTTTAGCCCTTCTATAGACATTTCTTTCTTTCTTATACGAAGATTTGATAGGCATCGCGTACTGCGATGGCCCATTGTCGGTGAAGGTTGTCGCTATTGTGAAGTATTCTTGAGAACTCTTCCCCTGTCATCTTCACTTCATCGAAGATACGAACAGTATAGCTGCCATAAGGGTAGGGCTAAATCTCGGCCTACTAATTGTGGCATGTTGATTGACAGTCAACTTGCTCTATTCACAAAGAACGCTATTTCACCCTTTATATCTTTCTGATCGATCTCAACTTCATATAACAATAGGGTATCATTTCATTAATATCAACCAACCAACCCCCCCTCCTCCTTCTCAGTCAACTTCCTCCGTACAAACTCCTCCATCCCATCCCTCTCCTCATCAGTCAACAATCCAATGCGATCCTCCAAACTCCCCTCCCCAAAGAACCTCCGATCAATTCTCGCCCAGTAGATAACATCAAAAGCCCAACTGCGTCTCGCCGCATAACTAACCCAAAACCCCCCATTATCCCAGCTCTCCCGCATATGACCAGAAAGCCGATTCTCCTCACCAATAACCCCACGCCGAATATCAACATCCTCTCGCATGCGCAGCTCCTGTAGGAAAACTTCTAACCGGCTCTCATACACCCGCTCCCAATCATCAAGCCCATCTTCCCAGTACTCCGGCCGTTCGAGTAGCAGCCAGCACGGCGGACTATACACAAACTCCAACGGGGCTGCATAAGTAAACTCCCAATCAATAGCCCCGGATATCTTATACCCAAGGTCCGAGTTGGCGAGCACATTCGCCGGCCGCAGATCATCACAGAATAACTTAAACATTTCTTCCCCCTCGACCCAACAAAGCCGTCCTTCTCTAGCAAGTTTCCGGAACAAACACCGCGCAATATACTTCGTCCTGCAATCCTCCGCATCATCAATAGCGTCATTCCGCTGCGATGAAAGATGCGTCATATGTAATTCCGCAAGAGTAAGTAAATACTCCGCACCACTTGCAAAGGTTTCCATTATTCCCGGCAGATCCTCAGCACGCACACCACCAACCTGAGCAAGCTCATTCATATCAATACTCAATGGCCTGTGCTCCACAACCCACTCATCCTCGAGCTCGTCTTCCGCAGCATTAGATATACATCCAATACGCGGAAACGAGTGCTTCGCAACCTGCAGCAACAACCCGGCCATCTGATTATACACCATGCGCAGCCTATTCTCATCGATATTGGGATCGAGAACAGGTCGATCTTCATCCGGTATTCCGGGCGTGTTTAATGCATCAACCAGATCGGCGTTATGGTCAATATACTCCATGATAATGAACGGGCCTAGGCTGTGTGGGCTTTCATCTGTGTTGCCATGGTGTAGGACGTGCGGGATTCGGATTCTTGTGTATCGCTCGAGAAAGCGCATCACGGATACTTCGTGGTGGAGTTTTTCGTCTGGGAAGACAGAGTAGCCGGGTATTGGGAAGCGGATTATGGCCGAGGCGCCGTCGATGAAGCGGAGACGGATTAGCATGTTGAAGGAGCCTTTTTGCGGTTTGAAGAGTCGGTCTGCTACGCCTTGTCGGTGTGTTTTGATTAAAGTTGTTATCTTTTTCATGGATGAGGAGTTGAGGAGTGTTCTTTTCCAGGTTGCTAGTTGCTCGTCGCTTTTGTCCCAGGCTACTTCGTCGAAGTACATTAGTTTGCCTTTCATGATGGGTAGCATCTTCGACATTTTGGTATTCCTGGTATGAGAGGTGTGCTGGGTTCAGGTGGGGAATGTATTGTGTCTATTATAGATGTCTCTTTACGGTGAATTGCTTTACCCCGCGGTTACTCAGGAGTATCGGCAAGTTGCGGTTCTGAAACAAAGGCGTCAGATTTATAAGTCACTTCTCTCTGTTTGGTCTGTTTGGAATATATAGCAGTTATCTGTCTTCCCCTCAGAAAGGCTGCACAGTCCGCTGAAACCTCGGCGGTTGGCGCGTAAACTTCTCCGGGTCATCTCTCGCCCCATCTTTCCAATAATCAAACTCCATCCATGCATTCTCAGGCATCTGCGCCTCAGTCGCCTCCAAAAACTCCCCGAGATCAGGACAGAGCGGGACAACACCCGTCTCGAGCACATACTGATCCCAAAGCTTAAGCAACTGCTTCAACTTCTCCGGCTCGGCATCTGCCAGATCGTGAATCTCTCCAGGATCTTGTACGAGGTTATACAACTGCCACTTCTCAGGGCCCTTAGGCTTGGGGATAAAAACAATCTTCCAATCCGCGCAACGCAATGCAGCCCGTCCACACGTCTCCCAGCCCTGAATAAACTCAACCGGGTGTATCCGCTCCGCCCGACCCACTGCCCAGGGGTGGAAGCTTCGACCGCGCATTTCAACGATCTCACGACCCTGGTACGTCGGTGCCGGGTGCTTGATCCCGGCCATATCTAAGATCGACGGCGCCAGATCCATAACCGTGGCGAACTGATCCGTGATCCCGCCCTTACCGGCTGCAACATCTGCAGGGTTGACATTGAAGTTCGCAGGGAAGCGACATGTAAATGGGACGCGCACGCCGCCCTCAGTGGTATACGCTTTATACAGACGCGACGGCGCGGTGGCGGCCTGCGCCCAGCGCGGACCGTACCAGATAAACGAGTTCCCGTTCCCGAGATTCTCCAAGCTGTTGTCGTAGTATTTCTGCAGATGAGGCATGACGCCGCTCTTGACCATCGGGTAGGCCTCATAGGCAGCGCCTTCGGCTCCGTTATCCGACATAAAACACACGAATGTGTTATCCAGCTCGTCGATCGACCGAAGATACTCGACTACCTTCCCGACATTCGAATCAATGCACTCGACCATCCCTGCGAACACCTCCATCGCAACCGATGACTTCTTCTTCTCCTCCGCGCTGTACTCTTCCCACTCTTTGACTTCCTCCGCTTGCACGGGATGAGGCTCGACATCGTCGCGCACCATCCCCAGCTCCTTCAGACGCTGTAGCCGTTTCTCGCGGAGCACGTCGGGCCCTTCGTCATATACCCCGCGGTAGTGATCTATATACTCGCGCGGAGCCTGCAACGGCCAGTGCGGCGCTGTGAAGGGGAGGTAAGCGAAGAATGGACGGTCTCCCTCTCCGTCGGGCCCTTCGCTGCCGCCGCTCGTTTTCCATTCTTTCAGGTAATCCACCATCTTATCGCCGTACCCGTCGGACGAGTACCAATCCTCTGGGAGACGACGCACGTACTCGCCATCCTCCATGTGCAGGGCAATGTAGCTCGCCTCGATGAAAGTCGGGAGCTTGTCCTTGTCTTTTAGCTCCGGCTCGTAGGCATAGTGGTTTGAGCAGGCGGGTAAGTGCGCGAATGAGCGCTCAAATCCTCGCTTGTGTGGTGATCGCTCTGGTGTCAGACCTAAATGCCACTTGCCAGACATCACTGTGTGGTATCCGCCGTCGCGGAGGATCTCAGGGAGTGCTACGACCCGCTCGTTGAGGTAGCCCTCGTACCCGGGCATGCCGCGCTGCGGCGCGGTGCTCATGGCTGAGCCTTTAGGACCATTCTGGCCGGAGATGTTGGTCCATTCGATTAGGTTGCCTAGACCGGCGATGTGGTGATCTGTGCCGGTCATGATCATGGCGCGTGTGGGACTAGTGTATTGTGAGCTTGACTGAGAGCTAGTTCTCTACTCAGGGGACACTTACGAGCATGCTGCTGCTGCATGGAAGTCGGTAAATCGGAGTCCTTCTTTGGCAATTTGGTCGATGTTGGGTGTGCGGATCTCTCCGCCGAAGCAGCCTACATCGGAGAAACCTAGGTCGTCGGCGACTATGACGAGGAAGTTGGGGCGTTTAGCTGCCATTTTCAAAAAGAAGCATTTGAAAATAGGAGAGTTGAGGGGTTATCAGTGACATGTCAATGGTTATATCATCTCGCAGCTCAACAAGCATCATACGCATGTAAATGATCGCCAATCGGCCATCGGCCATCGGCAAGAAATGTGGGGATGAAGTATCCACATTTGATCAAGGGTGGACTTACAGAAGATAATTGAGCCAATGACATTGGAATTAACGCAATATCAGAAGTAAAAAGAGTATAAGAAGTATGAGAAGTATAGATCCATCAGGTACCACCTTGAAAGATAGAAATATCACGCAATCACTGTCGTGACATAATCCATCGATCAACATCCAGAGCCATCTCTCTCCAACCCTACATTCCTTCTTTCGGACTTGCTACGACAGCTTTGATTCAGTACTTCGATCTAGACATGCCTACTGTAAACTCTATATCTTCCTCCCCATTCTCAAAATGCTATAACACTCTGCATACCTGGTGGACCCCATCACCCACAATCTCCTACTCACAGCTCCCCTAAACACCACAAGTAGAGTCTCCAGACCTAGCTCCGACAATGGAAGCAGAGGCAGCACACCCATCAAAAGCAGCCCGCTGGCGCATATACTGGTTCGCTCTCGTCCTCTGCTCTGGCGGAGCTCTATTCGGATATGACTCGGGGGTGATTGGTAAGTAACACCACACTACACTACGCTACCTACCCTACCCAATTCAATTCAATCCAATCCAATTGATTCCAATATACATATACTAACCCAATCCCAAGGCGGCGTTCTAACCTTCCCTTCTTTCACAACCTCCTTCTCAATCCCCCCCTCTCAAAAAACCCAGACAAGCGCAATCGCCGTAGGAATCCAACAAGCCGGCGCCTTTGCCGGCTGTTTCCTCATCTGGCCTGTGACAAACCACTACGGACGACGTCTCGCAATGACCCTCTGTTCTTTAATCTTCTGTCTGGGTGTAATTCTCGAAACCATCGACTCGCATTCGCTCTCTGTATTCTACATCGGACGCGTGATCTGCGGACTAGGCGTTGGCGGGTCCGCGACTGTTATCCCGATCTACATGTCGGAGATGAGTCCGAAGGAAATCCGGGGCAGGCTGGGGAGTTGTTACCAGCTCACGTACACGGTTGGAATCCTTGTTTCGTATTGGGTTGATTATGGGGTTAAGAAGATGGGGGAGGATGTTGGGGCGAGGCAATGGCAGGTTCCTGTTGGGTTGCAGCTTGTGCCGGGGGTTTTGATGGGGGCTGGGATGTTGGGAGTGAAGGAGAGTGTGAGGTGGTTACTTTCGGAAGGGAGGGAGGGGGAGGCGTGGGAGAGTCTGGTTTGGGTGAGGGGTGGCGAGGGGGTGGAGGTGAAGGGGGAATTTGAGGATATGAGACGGGGATTGGAAGAAGAGAGGGATGCGAAGCATGGGTTTCGTGTGTGGGAGTTGGTTGAAGGGGGGAATTTGAAGCGGATGGGGGTTGCTGGTGGGTTGTTTCTTGCGCAGCAGTCGACGGGATCGACTGCGTTGGCGTATTTTGGGCCACAGTTTTTTGAATTGCTTGTTGGGGCTGGAGACAAAACACTTTTATTGACGGGGATTTTTGGCGCTATCAAGGTCGTTGCTTGTTTGGTTTTTGTGGTGTTTTTGTCGGATCGGTTTGGCAGACGGCCCTTGTTGGGTGGTGGTGCGGCGTTTATGGCGATTTGTATGATTGCCACGGCGGCCGTTGTTAAGTCTTACCCCCAGCCTGGGGATGAGACGGTTACTTCTTCGGGAATTGTCACGGTCGTCCTGATATACCTCGATATCATCGCTTACAACTTCAGTTGGGGTCCGTTGCCGTGGCCGTGTGTGAGTGAGATATTCCCGACACGCATTCGTGAGCCTGGTGTTGCGTTTGGTGTTGGATCGCAGTGGTTGTTTAATTTTATTTGGAGTTTCTCAACGCCATATATCCAACAGAGCCTGGGTTGGGGTACATTCTTGCTCTTTGGATTGCTGGATGTGGTGATTGTGGGATTTACTTACTTCTGTCTCAAGGAGACAGCTGGCAAGTCTCTCGAGGAGATTAATGGGTTGTTCGATGTTAATCCGGATGCTGAGCATGGGTGGAAGGATATGAATGGTGATGCTACATCGCATGTACCTGGAAGATATCAGGATGCACAGGTTGATACTATAGATGCCACAGCGGTGTCCAAGCACCGGACTGCACATGTCGAGTCGATCGCTGGACGGTCTTGACCTTGGACTATATCTTTCTCTTTTATCTACCATATAAAAATGATACATCGATAGAAACAAATTCATTTCCATCTGCCATGTTATTGTAGAAGATACATCCCAGGCAAGGCCATTCATTGCCCACAGCAACAATCCACCAACAATCCACCAGCTAATTGCCCTCAAGGCAGCTAGAATCGACAAATAAAAGAAACAATACCGAATATCAAAAGCTTGTTCCGTTTACTCAAGTCGGAATCAAAACGCCAAACACCCTCCAGTTCCCACTGGATCGCAATTCAAAGGGTTCAAAAATCCACATTCAACGCCAGACAGACCTGCTGCCCTCCATTACCTCCACATAAAAAAAAGTCATTGTCACATAAGCATCCACTCCTATCCACACTCACACATTGATCAAATCATCAAATGTATCCTCCGCCGAGAAAGAATAAGACCCCTCCGAGACCAGCGAAGCCTCCGACTCACGGCGCATCTGTTGTTCAAACGCCTCGGCCGCAGCCGCTGCAGCAGGCTCAAGTTGGAGAGGATCATCAAAGCCAAACGACATCGTCGCCGGCGCCGCCGGAACAGACACAGGCGCAGCAGTCGTAACCGGAGCGGGGTTGGGTTCGAGCGGGGAGACAGAGGGATTGTTATCTGGGATTCTGACGGGCGAATCAGGTAGCGTACCCGCAGGCGGGGCATCGTTATCAGTAATCTTCTTTACCATCTGAGCGAGATGAAGTTTAATCGGCTCGTCTCCACACTGAGCATGTTTCAGTACTTCATTCTTCAATCCGAGGATCTCCGATCGCAGCCGGGCAATCTCCCCGATCAGCTTTTCCTTCTTCTCGGACTGTTCCTTGAAATTGAATTCCAGCAGCTGGGTATGTTCCTTCTTCTTCTGGCGACACTTGCTTGCTGCGAGACGGTTTCGCTCGAGGAACTTGGCACGCTTGGCGCGTTCGTGTGGGGCCTCGTCGAGATCTGGACTGAGGCTTGCAGCGGCGGTTTTGTATTCTCGCGCCCGCCGTCGTTTGCTGGCGCTTTCCAACATGTCTAGGGAAAGGTCGCGGCCTTGATCGTCGTATGGGGGCGGGGTTGGTTGGCCATTTCGGACTTGGGCGTTTTTGAGGTCCCGCTCGAGTGCGGAATTGGCAAATGCTGCCGAGTCGGGTTTGTCCCAGCCTGTGGCCATTGGTGAGATGGGGCTCAGACCCCAAAGTTGGTCGTCGTCTGGAATGGGGAGGCCTAGGAAATCACCTGAGAAGGAAGTTGTGAATGGTGATGGGTCGATGTTGATGTTGTTTCCAAGGCCTGGAGGTAACCCTGATGATAACCCCGATGGTAGCCCTGATGGCATTGCAGATTTGAGGTTGGTAGACATGTCCAGGTAGAGAAGCTTTCGAGAGAAAGTTATGTTCCTTCTCAAACATGGAAGAGAGAGAAAGCAAGAGAGCTAAGGAAGCTAAGACAGGCTCTCTTGCCCTAATAACCCTAAATAGATTTTCTCCGATTCACTGATTCTGATTCACTGATTCACCCAAGTAGATGGTTTGGTCGGTGCCTGAAGAAGTGAAGAGTCCAGGTGCGGTCGACCTGGTTGGAGCCACGGTCGGACAAGACTTCCTGCGGTCCAGAAGATCCGGGCGAATTGCACAGAAATGGGATGTTTTTGGTGTCACCATGGAAAATGGAATGTCAAAGGGTTGAAAAGTAAAAGGAATGTATTTTTATTTCTGAACCCTTGAAACCCTTGACCTAGACCGTTCAAGCCCAACCCCTAGACTATAAAGACAATAAAAGACAAGTAAGAGATAGAAAACACAAAAAGAATGGCATCCAACAGGATTTCAAGCCGAGGGGAAACAAAAACAGGGTTGGGTTGGTGGGGGGGGGGGAAGAGAACCTTGGAAGTATACAGCTTTTTCTAGAATCCAATCAGAGAACCCGATCTGGTTTCTCAATACGAAACACTCCTTTGTCCAATTATGCCCTTATTCTCTGCCCACCACGAACCGTCGACTTGTCCAGTGTTGTAACTGTCGATGCACAAAATGCCAATTATTGAGCAACAAACCTGCCACGCGTTGATCATCAATCTCCTTTTCAACCTCTGTTGAGGCCCCTTCTCGGTCCTCTTGCCCCCTGGGCCCGAGGAGGAGCGGTCCAAACACCCGCACCAACTCGTGGAAGTTCGGACTCGCCACTGGATCACGGAGCTCCATCCCGGGTTGGTCCTGGACGTTGGTCTCTGCATTTACCAACAAGGAAAGTAGCCCAAATACCGCACAGATCAAATCGCGCTGCATCTCAGGTGCAAGGGCAATAAGCGCAAGACACATAAGCTGTACTCGGGCGGCAGTCATTGGGCTCGCATCAGAGATACAGTCTGGTACACGGAGTTGATGGGATTGATTGGGGATGGAGTGATAGTACATTTCCCTCAAAACCTGGTAGAGCCGGACACTCCCGAGGATCCCGTTTGGAAGCCCCGCCAGCACGGCCTTTAAGGCCCAGGCCACACTCAACACGGGCGCCGAGTCTTCACGGAGCTGGGGCATGGCAACCACACGCATGGTAAGGGAAATCTTGCTCTCATCTTTCTCCACCTCAAGCACCTGGCTAGCAAAGTGGTCATACAAGCGAATGGCAGTTTTCAGATCGCCGGACTGGATGAAGATCTCGGGAGTGTCAAGACCTGCAGGAACCCGGGGTCAGTCAAGTCATGACGTAGAAGACGCAGCCACCAACCATATTTATGCAGAAACATCAGCGTTGCCACAATGTACGCGGGCAGCTGCACGGGACAGGGGCCCAAGTCCTTCAGCATAAGATAGCCATATCCTCCAAGACGGGCCAAAGTCTCGATCGATCTTCCTTGCAACGAAGTCATCGGAGTGGGACGACGTAGGTTTGCGAATGTTTTCATTCGTCGCAGCTTAGGAGGTGGTGCCAAAGGGGTTGTGTTGGCATCCAAACTAGATCGCACCTTGCGAACTTTACCCAACAATCCAAATCCACGACGACTCGGCCCCTGTTCCTCGGCGGCAGGATTGCCCTCGGCTGCTAGAGCCTAGTCAGTGGCAACACATGCACAGGCGAAGACAAAACCTACGTGGGCTTGGAGTATCATCATCTGGAATAGCAATCGGGATACCGAACTGAGATGCCATCCGGTTAAAGGCTGAGATCGCTTTTGGCGCGTCAAGTGTACTACTCCAACTAACTCGACTTGTTTGGCTGTTGGCCGAACTTGCCCTTTGAGAATCCGCATGGTCGGGCTCGGCTGGTTCAATGACCGGTTCGATTGTGTCAAAATCAGTCTCCGCGATAGGCTCCAGTGTCCCTTCAGAAGCTCTCGATGATTCCTCCCGGCTCGTGCCCGCGCTACGCCTCGAAGGTCCCGGCTTTGCTTGTCTGACGTCGGCGGCCTTCCCATCTGAGAACGGATCCGAAGACTCCTGGATATGAGTTTTGGTATTGCTGCTACTTTCCGGGCAATACAGCATCAGTCCCGGCCATCCCCACTCCTCCAAAGGTTCCTCCTGAAAAGGCATATTGATGCGCTGGGCAGGATCTCGGCAGATAGTATCCTCGGTCTGGCTGGAATCCTGAGAATGAGTCGTCTGTCCGCTGGTCTTCCGCCGCTCTTTAGGGTCATTGAATCTGACAGATTTGCCAGCGGTTGTGGACGGCCCCTCGGCAGTATCTAGTTCAATGGGATTGGAGGATAAAGGTATGGAGCTCGTTCTTCCTTCACGGGCACTCTCCTGCGTAGTTTGAGGCTGTGTGCCCGTGATGGGATCATCGTCTTGAGATAAGCTGCCACGGATGCAAGCAACCATTCTCTTCAGACGCCTAGTGCCATTCTTGGACCGAGAAGGAAGTTCGCCAGTGTCTTGAGCGTGTTGGACATTCGACCCAGTTTCGGTATTGTCAACGGGGGCTGCTGCGGCCGAGGAAGATAGTTTGTTCGCAGTGCTAGGTCCTGCTTCGGTCGTCTGCTCATCACGTTGTAATTCACTCGAAGCGGCTTCTGGTTGAGGTTTCAATGGCTCTCCCTCAGACCCTTGACGTCGCCGTTGCCAGACAGCACGAGATGAAGCAGGGTTAGTTGTCTCAGATCCGGACCGGAACACATTTTTGAGACGCCGCATGATTACGTTTGGATAATGTATACGAGAGGAAGAGATGGGGATGAAGTAAGAACTAGGCTGGGCCCTCGGGATGTGAGTTGGCCAAGGTCTTTGTCCTCGAGGAAGGAGCTGAGATGCACGAGGAAAGTACATCTTAACAACGCCCGGCGCGATCTCCTGGAGCCACCTGGGCAACAATCAACCAATGAACCAATCAACCTTGGGAGTAATTAAGATAATGCTTCAAATTGACATTCAAATCTTCCAAGTCTATTTCTGTGCCAGTGCTCGGCAATAAAAAAAAACAAAAGAGAGCAGTTTTGGAAACCATATCATTACCTCTGTACATTCGTAAAGCCCAAAATCAAAATAATAGCCCAGAACAGCCATGGCCTCGCCGGGCCCATGTGTTCCCAGGCTATTCATATGTTATCTTCATCTTTCGAGGTTTCCCTCGAAGAGCCAGAACAGGGTAGATCAAAACGCCGGAACCATGCAAAACTGAATATGTATGGGAAAAATCATTTTCAACTCGAAGATAATCATGCTTCTTCATTCTCTCCCTCGAGAAGAATGTAGTGCAGGATATCACTCAGAGTCAGAACGCCCTTGAGTTTGAAGTGCTCATCCACGACAACGAGACGGTGCACTCGTGATTTGCGGATAGTATCAAAGATAGTGTCCAATCCATCATTCAATGAACATGTGTAGATACCCGGGAAACCCTGCGCAGAACGTAAGTATCAGAGCTAAATATCACTGGGAACGGAGGTTCACATACCGGAGAACGTTTCTTCAATGCTTCCCCAACTGTGAGACTCAAATCATCATAGAAACCACCCTTAATCAAAGTAATGACATCGACCGACTCGAATACATTATACACCACGCCTTCCGAGTTCACAATCGGCACGCTGGATATGCTACGCTCGACCAAAATATGAATGACATCAATGACCGGGGTGTCCATCGAAGCCGTAGCAACGTTATCATACGATCCAAGCAAGAGCTCCCCCAGCGGACGCCGCAGCTGCTGCGTATCGGGGACATTGACGGCGACGAATTTCAAGATGCGGTATTGCGTGATGACGCTAAGAACGTGGGGCCGCTCGGTCTGGCTATCGCTGGTGACGAGGGGGATACGGCGGGCGCGCGATTCCAGCATTCGCCGACACGCATCGTAGAGAGGACGCTCTGGATCGATGGAGACGGTCTCCGGCGGCGCCACGCCTAGCGCCTTTTCAACTTCTGTATATTCCCGTTAGCCGGGTGTACCTGCAGGAAATGCGGCGACCACGGGGGGTGCCCAACGCACCTCGCAAACTGTCCAGGCGGAATTGATCGATCTGGTCCAGTGCGGCGGGGTTCTGGAAATAGTATTGGATGACATTGATGTAGTCGGAAGTGGTCAGAAGACCTGCGAATTTGGACGCTTTGGAGTCCCACAATGGAGCTGAAACGATGCCTGTACCTCCCGATTCCCCGGTTCACAGTCAGCTGGAGTTCGGCAATTTTGTAGAAAGGGGGGCAGGAATCGCGAAAAGCGTACCGTTTTGAATCAGAATGTTCAGACTCTCCTTGACGGAGAGCGACGTATCGAAGATGATGAGTCGGAAGCTGAGCGGTAGGACATCGTAGGAGTTTCGGGCCTTGAGGAAATCGCGAATGGCACGCTGTTTGCTGCGTTAGTCAAGATCTGGATATGCCCAGGTGATCTGGTGACTGGTGAACCCATGCCGAAACACGTTCGCCAATGTCCGATCCCCCTCACAGTGTCCAACGTCAGGTATAAGAGGGGATGTTCCCCCTCTTTTGAAAAAGCAAAAAGGGAGACTTACAAGGCCCTGTCGCTCTTCCCGATCGATCGCTCGCTCGGAGGCCATTGGGGGCGTAGGTACGAGGATGGGCTGCACGAAAGCCGCGTGACCAGAGATGAAGGTCCCGAGTCGAGGGTCTTCCGCCTTTCGATATGTGNCCTTTCGATATGGGGGGGGGGGGGAGGGATCCTACGCAACCAAATTGAAATTTATTGGAGAGATTAACAGGAGATTAATTGATGGAATAATTCACGTACATTGTTTATTCTTTCTTCTCATATCAAATTATCATATTCAATTAATTATTTCTCAATGCGAATGAGGGGCTGCAAGTACGCGGGCTATACGGCAACATACGACTGATCTTTGTTCAACGATGTATACGACATGGATATATGCCCGGTGACACCAACGCCCAGTTCCTCGGGCATGGGTCATATAAAGGCCCGAACGTGTTGAAACTTCCATGGACTCAACGTCTAGGAAAATCTTCCATCTGAACTGGGGGTTGGGGAACCACCGACTTCCGGATATAAAGCACAATATCCGAGAACATCTCGTCATCAGGGCCAAAGTTATGCAGCTCATAACCCTCCGTCATTGCTCTGATCCGCGAAGAATCAGTATCAGTTCTAAAAGGGATGTTAGCAGATTGAACAGATGCTAGAAGACATGATACTCACAACCCCCGAACAAGTCCATCTCCGAACTCCACTCGACACCAAATAATAACCGCAGGCCGAGCAATGTCCGTAATGATCTCCTTGACAGGCACATTCGGTGCTATCGAGAGAACCATCGAGCGCTCGTCTACCTCGAGCCAACCATGCGGATCTTCAATCGCTTCGATACCAGCCTCGTCGAAAATCTTCTTGTCCACCTCACTGTAAGCTGGATCCTGTGCGTAACACAAGACTTTCTCCTAACGGTCTCTTTCCTGTAGCCACTCCATCATGGTAATAGGAGTGCGTGATTAAACGAAGACTGCCACCCCTAGTATACAGATTGCCATCCTAATTGAAACATTGGAAGGACATCGTACCAAGAGAAAACCAGATGACCTTGTCAATTTCATGATTTTTTTGCAGAAGATGAGAGAATAGTCTTGAGCTTTTCGTTGGCATGGCTGTCTTTCCATTCTTGGATCTTGTCTTGGGACGTTTTTGTGACCACTTCACGGTCTAGGGGCCACCCCGTGGGATGATTTTCTCGGTTTTGCTATCCCATTCATGTGTCCGATGCATGATATTGATTGAGCATGGCTCCCAATGTTGGAAACTGTAATATTTCCAGTCAAGCTCCTTTCTGAGAGATGCTCGGCACTTATAATTGAGACCCAGTTCGTTGCTGGATGATGTCAGCTCTCACCATAGTACAGATATAGCTGTTGATGACATGTACTCACCACACATATTCTAAGTCCACATCATCTACGCCCCATTTTCGTACCTTTCCGCTCTCCACCTATCACTCAACAATCGCGCCGGTTATATCTTTGGTAAGGATTTTGTCGCCTTGGGCTGGTTCTCGCTTGATCTGATCCCACATGTGCTGCATTAATGCTTTGGTGAAAAGGGGCACTCCGGATTCGTAGAGTTTGTCGATGATTTCCTTCGCCTCCTCTTGGGCACCTCACTAGGTTCAGCCAAGCGACAATGTGTGCATTTGTAGTTGAGGTCTAACCATGAGATTCTTTCTGCGACGATGGGCTCTAAATTGTTTGTGTCGCCCATGTCGACAGTGTGACTGTAAGCACTGGGTGTTTTGTTCCAAGGCTGGAAAATAAATGAATAATTGACTTCGGGGCAGTACTTATAATATAGCCATCCATGGATTATTGTTGCGGTTGGCGCCTAACAGCACGTCCATCACACTATCACCTACATATCACATGTGCGGGGCATAGTAACCCCTATGTATACATAGAAAGGCCTGCTGTGCGGTTTGCAGTTGTTACATTTGTATATCGTACATATTGAAGTCTCCTCCGTGCTATTATTCATTACCCTTTTAGAAGGTTATAAGACCAAGAAGAATTTTCTAAGAAGAAGACAACTAAGGATCATTTAAAAGAAACATAAGAGTGTCTTTTTACATATACCATTTCTTACATTATCTTGAGAAGAATGAATCAGACCATTAAAGTGCTGCGTCGTCAAGGCTAGAGGCTGCACACACGGCTGACTACTCCTGTTATAATATACAGCTCATAATATAATATTACTATTAGCCGCTACGTGGAGAGAAAGCGCTTAAAAAACGAAAGAGATGACATGTTCCGATACTCTCAACTATCTTCAAATGAGCCTTAGGGCCTTGTGAGCACTTACAGCAGCCTGATAGTCATCCTCTCGTTTCACCATCCTCTGGAAAGGCGGCTCATCCTTCGTCTTTCGGATATAGATCCAAGCATCCGCAAAATGCCCTGGCTCTCCAAGTTCATACCCGTCGTACTCCATTCCCATCATGTCCTTAACACGGGGAGTGTCCGGGTCAGCAGTTCTAGCGAGCATGTCAGTTTATAAACAAAGGTCACAGATCGTAGTAATACACCATTGGAGAACACTCACCCAACATTCCTCTGACTTCCGACCAAAGTCCAGATCACAACAGCAGGTCTAGCGATATCCGCGATGACTTCCTTGACAGGTATATCAGGTCCGATAGATAGCCAAACTGACTGCTCATCGACATTGATGAAGGCATCCCCGTCGTCAACCACAGTCATGTCAAACTTAGGGAGAACCTCCTTGTCGACAGAGGTGTTTCCCGGATCCTGGATGAAGCAGGGGATTTTTATGTCCGGGGTTTGAGTGTCTGCGTCTCGTCTCTTCAGCCATTCCCGCACGGTAAGCAGAAAGGCATGCTGGTAGGCAATGCCATCTGTTTCTGCCATGGCCAGGCTACCGCAGGCAGTTCCGAAGATTTTGTTGATTTTGTGGCCGCTGGCTTCTGAAGACAAAACTGACTTGAGCTTCTTGCAGGACTTTCTCGCTTCCCAGACCTGGATCATCTCTCTGAAATACTTTTCCGTAGTCTCAGTGTCGCGAATCTCACCATCAGGGATGGTTTTCCTGGCACCGTTGTCGAGAATGACCTGATACGTCTCGAGTGTCACCTGCAGAGTGGCGAAAGCCGAAGGTTTCTCGGTATCCGATTTGATGAAATACTTGAGGCCTTCGATACCCAAGTAAGCCAGGCCAAATTGTGAGCTAGATGGTGTTAACTCTCATCATAATAGCTAGGCTAGTAGGAATATCTAGCATAAGGTAGATACCTGACTTACTAGACAAATTTCCTTTCCTCGCCCGGTTTTTCAGTTTCCTCCAGTCTCGAAACACATTCAAGTTTAGTACCAAAGAGATCATCGAGGAAGATCCTATCTCCCGAGGGTGGTTGACGCTTTAACTGCCGCGAGATGACTTGGAACTTCTCCTTGGTAAAAAATGGCACACCGCTATCGTAAAGCTGATCGACAATGCTTGTTGCCTGCTGTTGTTGCTTTTTTGTCCATCCATCAGTGGACTTTTCCAAGCCAAGAGCAGTCAAGATCAAGTGGATTGAAGCTCCTCTACTCATGATGATAGTAGTTGAATTGGGTCTTGAAGAAATCGGAATCTGGGTTGATAGTCAAAAATATCCTGAGGATCTAGCTGTATACTTATACACTTCGAAGGACATTGTTCAGACAGCTCACGCCGTTAACATCTAGCAATATTCAGTGCATCACATCCTTTATCACATTTTCGTGATAGGTTAGCATCCACTTGGTGAGGATTCTATGCCCAACTGTTTCAGTTAGTCCCGTTCCCGGTGTTGGTTGGATAACAACTTTCGATAGAGAATGACTTTGTAACAAACGGGTGGACGGGAGAAGGCGCTTAACCCAAGGGCCTGCAAGAAAATAGAACACATGACTCAAAAGTTGCCCAACTATCTGAATGCTCCCAGTGGCAATCTGACATATAACACGCTTTGCCCTATACTAGAAAGATTAGAACCGAGAGACTCATGAGTCATGTGCTATGCACCACGCGCCACGCGCGAAGGGGGATAGTACAAGAGATATAGAAACCGTGCGGCTGAAGGAACGGCGGCTGTGAATGAAAGTAGGAAGGAGCGATTCTCGATGAGTTGGCAAGAGCTATCGGTTGTTTTCTCGTTTTATATTAACCAACCCCATATACAAGGCCATTCGCGCGAGGGCAACGGCGAACTCAGGAATCATTGGAGCTTAGTCCGACGGGGATTATAAATCGATATGTTGGATAACGTACTGGGCTATCAATGAAAGATGTTGTTTGTGACGAGAAAATATGGAACTATTAGGAGGACAGGAGAAGCAGACCCGAATAAAATGATGGCTATGATATGATATGTTCTAAAAGATAAATATCTTAAGGTAAGAAAAAAAAACCCCTAACCCCAAAAGAAAACCATGTAACGCCGCCGCAGCCATGCAAGGTATCATCGCAAAGCACATTTTGTTCAAATTCTAGAACCAGCCAGAACCTGATCCCTTGGGAGGTAAATACATGAGAGAAGTGTAAGAAACGAATCGAAGCTCAACGACTGAATATCTGTAGCCGGGTCTAGAGATGCCCGTGTAACTTGAATCGGTAGATGCAGGTGTGGTTGGCACCCCAATTCGAAGTCACCCGGAAGACAACCTTGTCTACACGGATTGTCGAGACGTCGACAATGGTGTTGAGTTTGAATGCCTGCGCGTAGTCCGGGCTGTGGAGGTCATATTCGACCTTCCCGATGCGGTAGAAGTTGGGGCCGAGAATTGGGTCGTCTGAGTAAGCGCTTGGAGGCTCGAAGGGGTTGCTCCGACGCAATAAATCCATCACCAACCCGTGAAGTGAACCGATTCCGGGGATTAGGAATCCTCCAAGTCCCGTTTCGCGGGATGAAGGAGCCTGGGTTGATGGTGGCGCTTGTGACACTGTGGTATCGCCGAAGAGTTTCAAAAAACCACGGCCAGGTCTGGCCTCGGGTGTTGGTTTGGCTTTGACTGGTGTCTTGTGGGGGTTCACTTTGAAGCGTGCCCACAGCTCGACTATTCGGGGTGCCGCCTCTGGTTCGAGAGAAGCACCCACGGGAATGTGCTCAACTACCAACTCTTCTGCCACGATGTCGCGGCCAAGAAGAACGGATAGTTGGGTCGTTCCGTTGCGAGGGGCACTGCACCAGCAGTCGCCTACCTCTTCCCACGTGCTAAGGGCAGACATAGGAGATTGCGGTGCTCGAATGGAGCGCCTAGTTGCAAACGAACTCACCCAGAGGAGTGCTCGGAAAGTAGCACTCTGTTTGGGACCCAAAGTTGGTGAGGTTTTCGCTGGGTCAATCATTGCCCCCAACGCCACCGAGAGGAAATTTACCTTGTAAATTGGTTTCCGATGGAGGCTTGCATCTGTGGGCGTCGAATCATGAATGCTGGACTGTTCTGATCGAACAGAACTGATCTCGTTCGACAAAGATGACATCTGAACGTCCATTTTTGATACCTGGCTGCGAAGGCTATGGACAACTTCCGGTTTAGTTATGCTTATATTCGAAGAGGAATCCCAATCGAAAGCACCGTGGTCTAGATAGACGCGAAGCTTCGCGGCAATCAGGGGCATGAAGATAAAGCTTAGGAACAAAAGCAGATAGAAGGCACCCCGAATCCAATTTTGGTAGGGGCCCTCCATTACTGCTTCAAATGTCTGCGTCCAGCTTTTTCGGCGTACCTCGCTGGGTGGTTCATTATGACTCTGGGGCTCCTGACCTTGAGGTGGCACTGCTCCTAGCCATCGACGCAAGAAGCTTTCCTTGGGGACATCGGGCTCAACATCGTGATATATTGCCGATTCAAACTTGACATCATCTTCTTCTTCTTCTTCATCTTCCTCGAGAACATTAGCCAAGCCAGAAATTCGTCGCGGGGGCGCTGTGATGTTGCGTCCATGTTTGCTTGGTCGTGTTCTTTGCAGGTCATCTTCGTTAATATCACGTTCCAGATTCCAAGACGCCACAGAAGCATTATCAACAGAGCTGTGGCGGAATGGCGAGCTGCTACCCAGAGGACTATGAATGCGAGGAGATCCCGCCCGTTGAAGCGGCGATGGATAAAGCGGAGAGTTTGACAATTGACGTTGCAATGGGGGTTGAGCCCCCGGACTAGAGTCTGTAGATATCGAATGTGGAACAGGAGGCGAAGGAGTCTGATCAGAGTGTTCCTCTGCTGCATTATACAGCGACTGCTGAAGCTGAGCTTCGTCGGGTGTTGGTTCACGCTTTGACTGGCGTGCTTGGGGGCCTTGCCTCTTCTTTGTAGCGGCTGTTCGTTTTCGGGCAACCTCAAGACGGGCATCAACTGCTCCAGCTATCTGGTCAATCCCAATGTTGGGCCGTATCGACATGCGCTGAGGTAATGCTGTGGTAGTAGCAGCGCCATAGTTGAACGATGCCTGAACTGGAACACTGGGCAAAACAGGCCCTTGCACAAGGTCCAGTATGGACTCAAACTCGGGTTCCTGATGTGGTCGTTGAGGAGTCGCACCAGCCCGGCGCGTAGCACGTTTGGGTGGCATCTTTACTTTTAACCTCTAGAATGAGTTTGTTCTTGTTTTGTTTCTAGTTGAGATATCAGCTTTGGACTGGACAGGTAAAGCAAAACAAAACCAGACAATGGGACATGGTCAATGTATAAAGTGAAACATTAAAAATATCAAATAGAAATTGAAACAGAACATCCACACATTCATGCATCAGGACATAATGCGACAACTGGAAATGGTGTCACGAGAATGGAACATGACTATGGCGGACCAGGGCCATTGGTTCCCACAAGTATTAAGCAAAAAATAAAGCGACAATAATTCCAGACTTACCACAGAACAGATTAAAATTGCAGACTCCGAAAGGCCGTGTGTAGATGTCCGAGGCCTGTAGATCGCGACCCCGGAGAGACGCGCAGACGCGACGGAACGTGACTTGCAGCTACCAGCTACCAGCTTCCGAGGGTGACTTTGCGGGAGATCGAGAAGTGTTCGCTTTGTTTTAATAAGAATGATAATCTGGGTCTGAGTTGCCAGGAATCCGGGGGATCACTCAGGAGGTTGGGTGAAGTGAGTGAAAAGTAGATGGGGAAAAAGGGTGGAGGCGCTTTGAAGATCACTGAAGAATCTCGACTGTCGACTTTTAGGAGTATATGTACCATCGGACTCTCTGGAATTTCATGTTTCTTTATATTTCTGCTGTTCTTTATAGACTGCAGTCTTACTTCCATAGTCTTTGTTGGTTAGATCTCTTTGTCAACCTTGCGCCTCGGACTGCTACGATCTTACTATTTTTGTTTCATCTTCCCTGAAGGACTTTGTTCATGTATACAGAATAACCAACGTGGTCCTGCTCCTGATTCGCTCGGTCGCTACTAAGACATAGATTGAATACTATACAACGGTCGCAAAAAGGCTGAGGTGAAAGCAAGAAAATGTGACCTCCCAAGTATGCACCTCCTAAAAGAGATTTTACATGTCTAACACGTCCAGGCAGCCATAGTGCCATCTTTACGTCCCTCCACAAGGTAGCCGTCCTTAAGACGAACCCGCTCGACAGTCGCAGGGAATGGCCCATCGTCATCAAGCCCAACACCTGGACCGCAGTCCCAGTGATTGCCATCGGCCTTGTCGTAGACCTTGACCACACCTTCTCCGGCAGCGGCCACGATTCGTTTGGCATCGAACATCATGTCGGTGATTGGCTTGTCGTAGGCATAAGCGTCGTAAATAGAGCCCATACGTAAATCCCAAATCTATGAACAATTAGAAAACAATGGCTAAAGAAAGAAAATAATGGAGTGCTTACCCGAATGCTGCGATCGAGACTACCCGTGACCAGATGCACATCGTCAAACTGGAGACATGTGACTGGCCCCGTGTGTCCCACAAGACTCCGGTGGACATGGCCACTGCGCAAATCCCAGAGACGGACCATGCCGTCTGCTGTACCGCATGCCAGCGCGGCGTCAAAGCACTGCACTGCGCCAATAAAGTCGGCCGAAGCATCGGGCATGCGACCCGATGGTCGCCAGTCAGAGTCTCCCATCATGGATGACGATGCCTGAGCGGACGCCCACAGAACGTCCAGAGTTTGGACACAGCGGCCTTTGACTAGATCCCATTGTCTGAGTGTTTTGTCTGCAGAACCTGAGATGAGGGTGTCACCCTTGAAATGAAGCGCTGTCACCTCATCGACGTGCGCCTCTAGCGAGAATACATTGCAGTCTTCTAGGTTAGATGATGGCGGTACTGGGAAATTGTGCTCTGTAGCTCCTTCTTCTTGGTCACGCTCGTGCTTGTTAAGGCGCCCGTCCCGGGTCGCGGGTCGAGCACGGCTCAAGTCCCACAGCTTGACAGAGGCATCCATGGATCCCGTGGCCACGATGTTATTCTCCACTTGCAGACAGCGAACCGAGGCATTGTGTCCCTCCAAGAAACCGGAGCATCGGCCGACATTCATATCCCAGACTCTCACAGTATCATCTAGTGCAGCGCTGACCATAGTACCAAATGGATAGTCGAAATCAATGG